AATCGCTTACAAAATGTTGTCTATCCTTTGCAAATTCATTCCCTCTTCCTCACAACGGTTCACAAAGACATAGATACTGACCCGCGCGTTAAAAGTCACCCGTATGACAGCAGGGGAGAATTGCGGGCTATAAATTACAAAGGGCATTTTTGTGTTGGCGTAGCTAGCGCCTACCGCCCCTGGCAGCCAACGCCATAACTAACCCGCCCGGACAAAGGTCGTACAGCTAACAGTAGTTGGCCCGTTGGCCCTACTTGAGGCAGACACTGGGAATGTCTCAATCACAGCCAGCCTAATGGAGCCCGCTATATTTCACAGCCTGTAGGATCATTACAGAGTAACAACTATATTAGGACTGCCGAGGTGAGGGGGCACGGCTGTGTCCCCCCTGACCGCCAGTGTCGGCCGACCTGCCACTCCGAGTGGAAATTACAGCACAGTTTTCATCTACGAAGGTATTATAATTCTTCTTTTTTTTTTGAACGCGTGTACGAACCAATTTCTTTTCGGCCGAGGATTTTTGATTGTTTGTTCAATATGCGGTATTTGGCCACGACAAATCGATTGGAGTTGGTTACAATGCTGGGGAAAATCCGGATTTTGTCCTACAGCCCTTGAAAGTGTCCATGTAATCGGCAACACCTTTTTGTAGTGGAAGTTAACAAAAGTAGCTGTTACAGGTTATTTTTATTGTCCTAATTTTGATTTGACGTGTAAAGAAAAACAACTGAATTGGTTAGTTTGAACTAAACATTTTAAAGAATAATTTGTTGCATTGAGTCAAGACCGCACTAGATATACTATCTAGTATATCTAGTGCGGCCTTGATTGAGTTAATTTATAAGGTAAATATTAGTGTTTGCCATGATTTCAAGGCTGATTTTCAAAGATTAAAAATTAAACACGGAAGACCTTTAGAAGCGAAAATATTTACAGAATCTGAAAGGAAAGGAAGCTACAACCGATTATCGAGAAACAAATTTTACCACTTCTTCAACCGAACCAGATCCAAATAGCTCATAAACAAGATGTCTCAGAACGTCGGCCAAGGCCAAGTCACGCATCGAAGAATGAAAGTAGTGACAGAATTTAAGATCTTATGGCCGAGCAATATTTATGATGAAAAACAGGCTAACTGACAAGGATGGTTTGTGTGAAGTATGGTGCAGATCCGTCAAAAGGGCTCCGCCCCAGAGAGTTTTAAAACTACACCTCCTACACCAATCGTGGTGTTTCTGAAATTTTACCTCCCTGATTCTTCAGCCTCATTAGTAGACTAGTTTGGCATAGCCTTCTTAGATGTCTACATTACTTAGTTTAATGGAATACTGTTAAGTTTTAGACTTTTTAGAAGCAGTTTAGAACAGTACATTATTTTTGTTGTCAGTTTGTTTATTTAACTTGGCTGTTTACAAAATATATACTGTATTAGAAAAGTTATGATGTATATAATGGATGTTTTTTCTACAGCTTGTCACTATACATTCCGTTTTTTTAAGATGGACCTACGTAAAGATGGATTGACTAAGAGGCGCCTTGTTGGAGCTCACCCCCCGCGGATGACGAGAACGATGGCTAGGTGATTAGTGTGTCTCTCTTAGGTGACAACCCCCTCCCCTAGTACTGGTACCGCATAAAATCCCAATCCCTCTTCAACGAGTCACACTACCCATCTTAGCTTATTGGGTGTCTAACAAACTCGGACACATATCCATATAGAGCTGTCGTGTAAAAAGGCATGTTAAGAGAATGGTTAGGATTTTATTCAACTATCTTGTTATTTTGAAAGACATTTCGAAATCTTATGACATTAAATTAATAAAAATGATCCATTGAAAGGGCAAACTCAAATGTTGTATCTCCAACGTAAGACGCAAAAATGTCCAGATTTATTCTGAAGCTTTAAGTGGGCTTTCTCAATATGTTACCTTTCAAGTTCCTTTTGACAAGTTTTAAACAGGATAGTAAAAAAATCACGTTTCATGAATCACATTCTGTACAACTTATGAACCCCAGGTAATGAACATAAGCAGAGAGCGGTATGATGGTATTATGGATCAAGCTATCGATTATCGAACTAGCTTTTAGGAGCAGGAATTTGCACATTAAATTTCATTTTGAACAAGTTTATCTGTTTATCAAGACCCTTTTACAATGCCGTGAGCTCCAGGAGCTCAATAGCTCATGGCAAAGCTTTTCCACGTACCTTGTCACATTTCCAAGCAGGTATAGATCGCACAACAAGCGTTTCCGCCAGCCGCAGTGCCGCCATTGTTGAGTAGAAAGGCATCAACTTGAGAGGAATCAAACAGGTCAAAGATGTTTTAAATGTTACAGGTGAGGTAGCATTAATGAAAACCAATGCCCAGCTTGGGGTATCATAATCATCATCATCATATTAAAACGTGACAGAGGGGTTTTTTTTTAATTTCACGATTCTGAATCAATCACTTGACGGATTTTCATGATTTTTGTTTTGAAAGAAAGATAATTTTGAGAACTAGGGAATTTCGAAGACTCAACAGGCTCCAACGTACACGTGTTCCATCAAAAGGTCTTCTGAGATAAACTCAGTTCTTTGAGATAAACTTCTTTCTTCTGGTCGAGTTCATCCATTCTTTCTTCAGTTAACTACATATTGTTTTGCAGGTTTCTATTACGTTTTCCAATTTTAAGTATTCTCTAAGAAGTTTCGGTTGGACAGTTTTTTAATTTAACCCAAATTCTATCTGAGCTCTCAATATTTTTTTCTGTACTCCGAATTTACATGGCTTGTCTAAATTGTTAAGGTATGAATAGAATTTAAAAAAAGTGTTGATGCTTCCTTTTGAAAGACTTGTGAATATCTATGAATACCAATGAACGAGAGCTTTTATTGATCTTTCTTGGCGTGTAATACTTCTCTAGTGTTTCCAATATTGTTTTGGCCGTTTCTGGGTCTTGTTTAAAATCTGTATGTATTTTCAAGGCTTCCTTTCCTAGCAGCGGTATCTTAAGTGTTAATTATTACTTAGCATCAGATTTATTTTCAGTTTCAGTAGCTGTGAATTATCCTCTAAGTTTCCTTCTAGACTTAGGACATCAGGTTTGTTCCATGGCTGTGTATTTTGTAAAGGCATACTAGTCTTCTGTTACTATTCTTGATAAAAGCTTTTCCGACTGCGCCATGTTAAATTTTAGAAAAAGTAAAAACTATATTTTTACATTCAAGCATAGACTAACCAACAAAAGTTAACTATCAATATTTTAACAAAGCTTAGGGAGATGTTTTATCTATGATTCAAGTTAGTTTAAATTTCACTAGTGTCCCTGTTGCTCGAATTCGAGCAATTGCTAAGTACTACAGGCGTTATTTTAAAACGAATATCAACCTAGTCAGCAAATATTTGTAGCAAACTGTTAAATTAACAAACTTATTGACTGTTTGCAATTAACATATGCTATTCTTCTCACTTTTGATTTCTGACAACAGCTGCAGTTTCATCACAATTTTTGTTTCCAATGTTAACCTTATGAAGAAATACGAAACTTTAAAGGGCTCCAGGGCCTCACTCTCTCATTATTTCCCTAAAAAAAAAAGTTTCCTGCACAACTTCACGTAACGCTCTTTCCAATGACACCAAAAACATGCCAATCGGTTCAGTAGTTTCGGAGGAGTAATTGTCACAAAAAATCTGCTTGCGTATTAAATAAGTACGAGAGCACGCCCCGTGGTCGAAAAATCGACCAAAAGTATGTTTTGTGCAAACTTCTCTATTTTCACCCCACACTGTAAATAAAACATGTGATTGGAATGCCTTCCATTTGTTTTGATTTTCTGTTTATATTTTGTTGTTATTTCGTCATCACCATAGCAACCCATGTTAATTTTTTAAAATTTCAAATTAATTTTTTGTGCTTATTTTTGAGCCTATTTTAATTTATAAAGGGATTCTGCACACCTACAGGAAAATAGCTTTCTAACGGTATACGTAGATTTTCCCTACGATAGACACGAGCTGAGAAAAAAGGTTTTAAAGAAACATGCTTGCCTATTAATATATAGACGAGTAATGTCCAGTGGTCGAAACTCGACCAAAAATATGTAATGTACTCACTTATGTTAATGTTTCACCCTACACTGTAAATAAAACATGTGATTGGAGTTTCTTCCATTTGTTTTGATTTTCTGTTTATATTTCGTTGTTATTTCGTCACCAGCATGGCAACGCATAAGATCCATGTAAATTTTTTCAAATTTTTAAACTCATTTTTTGCGCTTATCTTTGAGCCTATTTAAATTTATAAAGGGATTCTGCACACCTACAGGAAAATAGCTTTCTAACGGTATGCGTAGATTTTCCCTACGATGCACACGAGCTGAGAAAAAAGGTTTTAAAGAAACATGCTTGCCTATTAATATATAGATAGATAGAAGATAGATAAAAAAAACTGTTTAGAATTCCAATCGATCCAATTTTAGAAATCCAATTGATTTGGTTGTTATTGTTTTTATTATTATAAAAACAATAACAACCAAATCAAAACAAATACATATACTAATTCGACAGTTACAATCAGGTGATCTTTTGTTTGCAATCCGAGTGACGTTGGAATATGTGGGAATAGCACACCTATGAATTTTCCTTCCACCATGGTCTACCCTGGTATATAAAAATAAATGATTTGATGTACAAAATTAACATTTGGTTTTATAGGTACAGGACTACATGCTATAACATTTTATAACATGCTTTAGTAAATCTTTTAAGATTTTTTTATTAGGGATATATTTAAAGATTTGTTCACAACTATTTTGAAGTAAATAATCCTTGGTTCACAAATGGAATATCCCTATCACGCAGGATAATTACTATGTTACCAAAACATTAGCAATGACATTATTTTTATACATATAGACAGAGGAAGAAATTAGAAGCTGCATACAATGAATGCCTTTCTTGTTCTTCTTCCATATTCGCTTGTCGTCGGCGGGCGTCGGTCGCTTCGCTTCGCTTCAATCTCAATCTCAATCTTCCACTTCCACTGCACACAAATAAACATTATAAATTACAATTGAGTGATATTCTGTTTGTGTCATTAGGTTGTCACTGTCAATATTTTAAGGTAAGCCTAAATAATCCAACAAATCTTTCTCACCACTGATATATTATTCGTCTTGAAACATTTTCTAGTCATTTTAGGCCTAGCTCACTTTTAATTTTATAGGTTAGGAAGGTTAAGTTTAAACTTTTAAAGAACCAAAACTTAATAAGCTTAAATAACTTAAATTATAGAACTTTCAATCCGTCACTGATATATTTACTGTACCGCATACATTTTGGAGACGCAAGGCGAAACTTTGATAGGTAGGTACCTATCCTTCTCTGGGTCAACAAATTAGACAATTTGATTAAACTTCTTTAAATTTAACTAGGCGTTTTCCAAAACAAAACTTGAATAAGTTTTATGTTGTGTAATTCTTTAGAAATAAATATTCAACGGACTTCATTTTCTATTTGTGTGCCTTTTTCCACGAGTTTAAAAAAATTTAAATTTTGCAGGCTGCCTAAGTTAAATGGTTAAGACCTTGCTTGTGATCATCTTTAAGTAGGTAACTTAAGTGAACAATAAACTAGGCCTAATGTGGCCTAGGCTAAATGCTACAGCGCACTGTACAAGAGTGGCGGGCGGCTCTCTTCTTGATAAGACCCATAACTCAAAACAGAAAACCAATATTTAGGCGACATTCAATGAAGTTAAGTTACCTCGGATGAAATATTTGGGTACATTTTCTTAACTGGGCTATGCTAATATTGATTGAAACTATCGATTTGATTAGTAAACCTTCATGCGATTTTTTCACCATCAGCAAGTTTGGTTGGTTAGGTTAGGTTATGATAGTTTAATTTTATAATAGATAAATGTAAAATATCGATTATTAATCAATATTTTCAATTCGATAGTTTCAATCAATATTAGCATAGCCCAGTTAAGAAGCTGTACCCAAATATTTCAATAACTTAGATAAGTTTATTTACATCGAATTAAAATTTAATACGATAAGATATCGTAGGTTCTCTGTTGACTGGTGGCTCCATTTGAAAACTGTTTATTAAGTTAAGTAACTTAAGCCATTTATATTTGGCATAATCTAATTCTAGAAATGCAATAACAATTAATCACAGGAGTGTTGCACGACGTCTAATGATAAGTCAGTGTCACAACATCAAAAATATAATTTTTGAGCTATTTCACGACGTTCAATATAATATATTAGACTGTTGCACAACGTCCAAATCTCACCATGTCCAAAAGTACAGTACCACTGCAATAAACATAGTGCAGTGTGCATATGCTACTTTTTTAGGAGTATGAAGTTCGCTGTTGTATGACGCCAATCCCATGACGTTCAAAGCTTGTAGAAAGACAATGTTTATTGCTACTGTACTTTTGAACTTAGTGAGATTTGGACGTCTTTTAACAGTCAAATATTTTATTTTGAGCGTCGTGAAACAGCTCAAAAATTATGTTTTGTACGTCGTGACACTGACTTCGTGGCACTTGGACATCAAGCAATGCATCCTTAAGTTAATCACCACACTGTTCTGAAGAAACCCTTAAAACAATACTGTCCTAATTATTTTTAGCAAAGATGATCATTCCTGTCCGCTGTTTTACTTGTGGTAAAGTCATTGGAAACAAATGGGAAGCTTACCTTGGACTTTTACAAGCGGAGTACACTGAGGGGTAAGTAGGCTACCTAGTTAAGGCAGGTTATCTTTGTTACTTTTTAATCTTTATTTACTTTTCTGAATTTACACTTTCCATTAGTAAAAATGAATACTCAGAACACCCAACTTACAGTATATAAAAGTTAGTTTTGTTAAGGCGGTGACTCACTATTGATCTTTTCCCCGATCAAGTCCCGAAACCGAGCAGGGAGAAGGGGGGGTTAATATAGGCTAAGCAAAATTTCAATCCAAACATTTCCCCAAACAAGACCAAGACCAGACAAATCCTTGCGAGCTCGGCAAAAGGGAGTTTAGCTTGTGTGAGTGAGAGCGCGGAGGCAGTAATAATAAAACCGTAATAAAACACAAAATTACATGTTACAGAATGACAATTTTAATTGCCTTTAATAATAATTATGCTTATATTAATTTTGAAAGAATTTAAATAGGCCTATATCATAAATTACTTAATTCAAGTTTAACATTAAGTTACTGGTATCATTGATATAACAGTTTTAACTTGTAAAATACATTTTCAACCTTGAACAAACAAACCACAAAATTACAACATAAATGCCCATAATATAACAGCAAAATATTACCCAACATTTTATTTATTTTACCAATTAAAAAGTTAAATTGCCATATTAAATTACAACTATCAACAGTATCAACGCTAGCGCAGGTGGCCGCTCGGTGCGGCGATCGCGACGGCGTACGGGGCAAAATATACCGTGACACACTATCGTACATCACTCGTACATCAGACCGATCTTTTCTTTGATCTTTCGCTAAAAAAACCGCCTCCAGAGCGCTCATCTCCCTACTCGGCCTGATGTCTGGATCGGTGTACGGACCCCTGAAACGCTATCGAACATGCTCCCTTCGACCTCCCTTCTCCCTCCTCTCGTCTCGGTTTGATAGATCGATAAAGATGCTCGGAAAAGATTGATAGTGTGTCACCGTCTTAAGAGTTCTTAGAACCCAAAAACAGTGGAAAAAACGGGGGTATAGGGGTTTATGAAGTTTGAATATTGTGGGGAGCCAAGAAATTAGGAATACCGGTAGCCTTATAATCATTGGCCTAAAGCCAAGCGTCCAATTATTAATGGTGTTCCATTGGATTAGTTTTTTGTAAAGTAGAGGTAAGAATAAAGCAATTAAAACGGCAGATGGCCACAATATTTTTGTTTTGTTTGTAAGGGCACTTACCTACTGTTAAGTAGGTCTAGTTATCAGTTTTTTTTTTCAAACAAAAATAACTTGCAGTACGGTACTGCATTTCCATAATGCATAATCCTAACAGTTTAATACCCTAATGCAAACCCAGTAATAATCCATTTTGGTCCCAATTAGTTTGGATTGAAGGGGGGACCGTCCTTCCTACGGGGTTGGCATATAAGTATAAAATGTGTATTTCAGTTATACTCAAGCTTTGTTTTTGCAATGGGGAAGGACACGGTTTGAGAAAATTTGGTTCTTTAAATTAACGGCATGCTATAGTAAAACACATCTATGATAACCATAATGTCCTATCACTGCACCAATGGAACAATAGAAAATAGTTAACTATCAAACATTCGCACAATTAGTTAAAAACATAAACATACATAACTATAACTATATAAACGACAATATAACTATATATACATAAGTATATAAACAATCCTACTTTGAGAGTTCTCATTGTGTATCACAGATTTTGGTTGCTGCTTAGTTCAAATTAGCTGTTGTCATAATTGCACAAATTGTTTACTGCTGCACCCTGTTGGTAAACCTTAAAACTTTTTAATGCTGTTGGATATCAAAACCAACTTCATTAGTTAGAACAGCTGACAAAATTCTTTAATTCCTTTTAAATATGAATACTTATAAGGTTAACATGGAAAACTCCATAGCCACTGGGGCGGAGCCCGGAAGTATTTTTGAGATTAAAATATGTCTATAGGCCTATATTAATCGGGAATGTGAGCTACCATCATGCCAAATTTCAGCCCAATCCGACCATTAGTTAACCCTTTGAGTGCCAACATCCGGGGAACCGGACGTTTTTAAAACGAGCCAAAAGTGCCGACGTCCGGCCGACCGGACGTTTTTAGAAAGAGCCAAAAGTGCCAACATCCGGTTGACCGGACGTTTCGTAATGATCGAACAGTTGTCATAACAACCGAATGGATACTCGGATTCTTTTAACCCATATATTAACATTGGGTCAAAAGTTACTAGATGCGATACATCGATTTTCGTTGGTCGAAATATCGAAAATTCGATTTTTACGAAATTTTAACCTAAAAATCGCCAGATCGCGCTCGGCATTTTTAGCGCGACCTTCGGGAAAAATCATCGGCATTTTTTTAGCGTTACTTTTATTTCTCGCCTGGCACTCTAAGGGTTAATGCGTGATCGAACTTCAAACAAACAAATAGGCTAAACAAACTTTCGCATTTATAATACAGTATGATATTCAGCCTCAGTGGTAAAACTGAGACAGAGATGAGTTTCAGCTTTACCATTGAGGATGCCTCATCGTAGAATAGGCAAAACGTCTGGTAAAATAATGTAAATGCCGATTTGACACAGTTCTCACCGGAAGACTAGTAAAAGAAAGCAAGCTCGGTTAAAATACAAGAACTCCTGACCATGTCAGCCATACTTGAGTCCTTGTCCTACTCAACATTTAGCACTGTTTTATGAACATTAAAATGTTTAGCTGACAAGTGAACAATTAAGTTCTTCTTAGTCAGTATTTTTTAAATAGCCAGTTTTAGATTTACTCTAAAGAAATGTTTTTATGGAACAAGTTATTTGGGTGACTAATCAAGTATAACTTGCGCTATAGATCTATAAAATATTAAAATGTGGCTACTTCTAATATTTCTTTGCCAAGGTGTATGCCAGCTCCGCGGCTTAGCAAACCCATCCAAGTTATTCTTCATCTTTATGAGAACAATTGTAAAAAGTATGTTTAAGTTAACTCTATCAATAATGTTACTACTATTACTTAATAAAAACTAAGGCCTAAATTTATGATTTTCCAGTGATGCTTTGGACGCGTTAGGCTTGAAGAGATATTGCTGCAGGCGCATGTTGCTTGGCCACGTTGACTTGATTGAGAAACTCCTCAACTACGCTCCACTTGAAAAATAAACTTGTAGCCTGTAGCCTAACATTGATATGTCAAATTTGTATCAAGTACTGACTTTTGTATAAATTTAAATCAAGATTTTTTAGATAAGGCGACTGTGATTATAACATGTAAGATTTTTAATAAAAAAAAACATAAAACATTATTTTGCTCAGTTTGTTAGGTACCTAACTTCATTCTTTAAACTATGTTATATACCATCTGATTTGTGTTTTATTGCACCATTGGAATCTTTATAGTTATTGTAAGGAAACGGTCCAAACCTTGGTGTTGTTACTACCTATCTATTGTCGACTTTTGTTAGCACTATTTATTGGTGGCCCAATGACAAGTGGCATATGGGTCCATAATCAATTTAATCAATCACTATGAACCAAAACTATTATGAAACTAAGAATGTAGGCCCATTGAACATGTTTAGCAAATTATAGGATACTTCCCTTAGTGATGAATCTCCTGAGTTATGAGTGATCAAATAAAATCAATTTATTTACACAAATAAACATTACATTAGGTGCTTGCTTATAGCAGTAACTGGTGTCTCGTCAATTACATAAATGTTTATTCATATCGTATGAATACAAACCTTTATAAGAAGTGAAAATCCCATGTTACAAATTCAGTGTGGGAGTTTTGGATTTTGTGAGTGTGAGACAAAGAATACGAAGAGAGCGAGAGGCTAGTGCTTTTCCTTGTGACAGTCACACAAAGCTAATTTAGGAGGCAAAATACAATCTGACTGTTCTACATAAGCATTTTCTTTGTTATAAAGCTTAATTTTAATCAGACATTTGTTGTTTGTGATGGTCCTCCTTTTTATCATCATAATTAGCTTACATTCAGAACAGTCAAAGGTTTACTGAAGCTTACTTAAATTAATTTAACTTTCATTAACAGTCAGTCTAAAAGTTGCTCTCAAACTAATCCAAACATACAACGTGGAAGCCCTCATCCAAACTTTATTTTAGTAATAATGATTGAAAAGTAGAATCATATTTTTGGACATTACTCTAGGTCCTCAAACTAATATAAACAATATACAAACTTTTTAGTACCTACTGTAGTAGCCAAAATTAAATAGTTAGCCAAAATTAAAGTGTGTCTGACTTTATCATGTTAAGGTAGTTATAAAAATGATTTATTCTGTTGCTCCATGTTTATATTCAAGTTCTCAGACAGACCAGAAAGCTGAGCTCATAGCAGGAGACTGGCCCGGTGTCTTTAGTCAACTGGTAGGCGTACCACTTACACAGGTTGCCTAACTTGCTGATGGAGGCTTGGGCTATTACAGATCCATATGGACTGTGACCATGGGAATCAGCAAGTGTCACCTGCAAACATCACATATGGTAACTACAACATATCAGCTGATACAAAGGGCATTTGCCTAGGCAACGTTGTATGTGTCAAAATTCATTGTGGTAGCCCCTTAACTTCAATAATGACTAAATGGGTTTTATTACCTGTCATGCAGTTCCAAAGTAACAATAGTGTTACATGTTTTGGCGAGATACCATCGTCAGACACTTCAGATCAGATGGCATCTCAGCGAAACATGTAACACTATTGTTACTTCTGGAACTGCATGACAGTTAGTAAAAACCCATTTAGTGTATGTGTCAGCTATGCAATATTTCAGAAAAATCCGTTATTTTTACTTCAGTGTTCAACTTTACCATAGGAGGTGGAACCTCTATTATCCATCACCTTTAGGACCAGGATCATTTTGGTTGACAAGATTTATAGTTAGTTGAAGAAGAGACAGCCAATTAAGTATTTACTGTACTTTATAACCTACATAATATTTAAGTTCTTAACACGTTCGCTACTGCAATAGTACGAAATTTTTCATTCACGTGGACCAGCGACGCACATGCGTGGGCCGGGTTCCACCCATAGACTGCCGTCGCATATATGCGTCGGCTAGTCACATTAAAATAGACTGCTGTCGCATATTTGCGTCGGGGTTCTAATGTTATTAAAATGCTTATATCTTTGTAACGGTCTATTTGAAGGCACTGAATTCCCTGCAGTGGTCTAAAGAGATGTCTGACGCAAAACTGTGTCGCTTGGTCTGTGGATATGATGATTGGTGACGTCGACGTCATAATGATAGTTGGAAAAACTGGTCTTTACTTTTCTGCATCACTGTATGTATGCTGCATTATCCTATGCAGCGTTTATATTTGTTCAGTTATAAACTGTTCTTGATCAATATGTTTTTTATTTTACTTACTTTCACCTCAAAACACAAAAAATGAACTGTCGCATATATGCGACGTTTGGTCTATTTCAAGAAAACTATGTTAATTTTCACTATTGTCTTCGCTGTAGACCGGGCGTCTCAAATATGCGACATTACAAAAGGTTATTAATAATACAAAAAAACAAGAATAGATTATTTACAAACACGATTGTAGCGTATTACAATGTAAATGATCACTGTTTTACAGGTTTTCGCCCGTGGTCTGTGTGTACTGTTATCCAAGTGACAGCCGGTCTGTGTGTAAGATTCAAATGTATACCTCGGTCTGTGGCAATGACCGCGGCGTCGCACATATGTGACGCTCAGTAGCGAACGTGTTAATATATATAAAACACTTTTCATTTTTATAATTACTTACGATTCCAGAGACTAAGTTCAAAATAAGCACTACAGCTCTTAGATTTGCTAAAATGACAATATTCAGGTTTGACTTCTCATTCTTTAGTCGACTAAAGCGCCATTGTTTCAGTTGGTTTTCTATGTTGTAATGCAATGTTTTGATCATGTCATCTTCTAAATACAAACTTTTCTGCAATAGACAAAAATTTATCTGTTAGTTAAAGCAGAGGGCCTTTGATTTGGTGAATCGGGGGCTCAGTTAGTAGCACCACAGACTTGGGAACTAAGCAGCGTTGTCGTAGGTTTGAATCTTGTGTACTTGCCATTACGTTTTGTCAGTAAAGTTCACCTTTGTACTGTACCGGCTCACCCCTTGCTTTGCTGGATATGTTCCTTGCACAGGCCCATGTGGACACCCAAATGCAAGGTAAAAGATGCTGGAGGCTGTCAAAAACTTAAAAAAATAAAATAAGGTGAAAAAATATTAAAGATTTTTGTTATTATTAATTTGATATGACGGTTACCACTGACCATGAAAACCTTGGATTATGCATGATTCTTGAATTCTCGTGACCATGAATTTTCTAAATCATTTATAATGATTGTAAAATAACTGGTATTAGTTAATTTTAATTTTTTATGGTACCCAAGGAACCAACAATAAGTTTACTACCCTAAGAACAATATTTTAGTAGATATGATGGCAGACTTACGACTACTCCTTGTGATTGACCAAATAGGGACCTGTGCAGATGCTAACAAGCAAAGGTAGAGATTATCAGTTACAGTAGAATGAACATATATAACTGACTACAGCATTTTCATTTAAAATCCTGACATTCCCGGAACAGAGCCTAAATACGTTACTGTAGTTTCTAATTGTGTCATTGGGTAACTAATGTTTTATTATGTAATAAGCAAATTATCACATTAAAGTCCATTTGTACAATAAAATTAGACAATATTCATTTACCCACTCCACAACTGTCGCATTTGTTTCTCTTCTGACAGCTTCAAGAGCTTCTGGAATGTTCAAATATTTGACCCTCAACACTCCAGCTTCTCTTAGTTTGTCATACAAGTTGTTTCCTGTTTAACAGAACGAGTTTGTGTATAAATGGTCAATCTATGTAAGTAATAACTCTTCTGATCTTGAATAATATACTCTTTTGCTTTGAGTGCCAAGATGTTAAACCTGGTAGTTCCTATATTGCTAAAATAACCTATTTTGCACTTCTTGTCATAGATTCCCAGTCTGTCAAAACCCCAGTCTTAAAAATGGCTTTATGAGATAGGCATATTCTCACTCTTATGTAGGCTCTTTCTCACTACATTGTCTACAAAAAAGGCTTGAACCAGGTAACCTGATCTTTTTTTACCATGGCTACAGAATTCTATAGCTGAGAAATATTTCCCTTTTTCAGTACCTAAGGCGTTACGTCAATGCACTTCAGGACAAATTCCTGAGCAAGAGGATTGTCCATTCAGGCTCTTGTAAATTCTGCCAGAGAAATTTCCTCTATTTGGACGATTGGAATTAGAGGGTGAAAAATTTCCCTAACAACCTATAAATTGCTTACGACTTAAAAATTGGAATAAAACCAATACAGTGGACTGATACTTTTAAAACAATAGATTATTGATCGAAAAGACAAATCAATTTTAAACATGTTGCCTACTAGCTGCCACACTACTCTATAAGGGGCTTTGTGAGACCTGGTAGTGAATGTGTTAATGACAGATTTCATACAGATTGCTTTTACCTTGTTTGATGCAGTTGGAGAAAATGTCTATGAAGTCAGAGGTGGGTGTAGGTTGAGTGAAGATGATTCGAGCTTTCTGGCACTTGTAGATGACCAGGATCGTGATAAGTGTACAAGCCTTGCTCTCTGTAACATTCAGCTGGATATTTGTATTGTTTGTCTACAGCATTAAGCAAATCTTTCCATGGGGCTGCTATCAAGCACAACGCCAAGAGTCTTTGACTTGTTACACGAAGTCAATGATTCCCCATTGAGCACAACACTCACTCCTCTCTCGCTGAGGGACTGCACCAAGTTTTTTTTAAAGTCCTAATGGATTACAGAAAATACTTTGAAAACCATAAGGGTCATGGGGCTTGGGAAACAACTGTCCTCCACTCATAATTGGCTTACAGCATTCACAGTTTATTCAATTATTCAAATAGTTATTATATTATATTAAGTAGTTATTCAATTATTGTTTGGTGCAGAGTGTAAATTCACACTCCTAAGAGGGTTCCACCTGCCGGCTGGATACCGTATAAACATACATGGTCCCGCAAAAAAGAACCTTGTGGCATTATTAAAGTGTTTATCGATGTTTAAATAAACTTGAAAATATTCACGAAGATCCAAACTATGCACAGGATGAACTGCAACTTTGTAATTGTTTCTTTAAGTGTTTACAAAATAATTTTGAAAATCCGTAAATTGGCCTTTTTAACATGGGATTTAAACTTCTAAATAAATTAATTTTTCTCCATCCATTGCAAGCTCTGATATGTTAAGAGCAAAAAAAGCACACAATCATTGGAATAAAATAGTTTTATAATGTTGAGAGCTTGTACAATAGAGGCGTGTTCAATCCCAAACTATATTTTAATCCATATAATCTGCCATCTTGAATTGAATTTCAGGCTGCTGGATAAAACCCCAGAAGGTGTAATAAACAGGGAGAACAAACACCCAAGTGACCCTTCCACCACTATGGTGAAGATATTTCCATAAGTACCCATAATTCGTCAGGAGTATATTTTTTTGTGATCCCAAACCACCTAACCAGGCAAGTTGCAGTTGAGAACAGATATCACTTATCTGAAGACACAATAAATAATTCTAATAAAAATTCACCAAATTCTTAAGGTACCTTATTTACTCGGGCTACTTAGTTGAAGGTATTTTTTATTTTATATTATGGTAGGCAACTGGTATCTAAAGCTTTAAGATTATCTACTACTTGCAGAAATCAATCAATTTATGTGTTAAGTTTTAGTGATTAAATACAATTTATTTTTATGTTGCACATCTTTCATACGCCTTGGCACATCACACCTCATTTGATGTTTGCCTTACTGAAACCAAAAGTGGCCTATTAAAACAAACAGAGGTTTCTATGACAACCCACCTTGCTCATGTGATTGACTGATCTCCCTCGGCATCCAGTACACTCTCACATTCTCCGTTTCATACGAGGTCTTCTTGCACGGAGACAGCATTCTTGTCTGCTTGGGACTGAACTGAGCCATTCTATGTTGTAGGAACCATCTCATTGGCTCCAACTTCCGCTCCTCAAAGGAGGAATTACACAAAAAATTTAGATAAAAGGTCCACAATTGTGATTACTATGGAGACTACAATTTTGATATTTGTAGGAGAAATAGGATTTGATCTTTATTCCCTCTTATTATATTTGTAGCAAAACAGCATTTTGATCCTTATAGGATCTCTTTATGTTTTAATTTTAGGCTCCTCTCATTCACTGTATCTTTGTTCCTGAAAAAAGTATTGCAGGAAATTGTTGTTAGATGCTATCCTGTTTCAATTATTTCAAATTTAAAAAGATGTAAATACAGAATAAGTATGTGAGAGCTCAGTGGTCTAATGGCCTACCAAAAGCTTGTGCTCTTGCACAGTATTAACTTAACTCCCATAAAATTTAGTTGCAGTATATCACAGAGCCTCCATGAAATTCATTGTGTTGTATATAGAGATCACCTAAATGTTGCTTGCAGTCTTTGCTTTTTGCTAAATTTGAATGGGAAGTAAATACAAACTCAAACAATTTAAGACACACTAAAACTAAATTTACCATGTTATTGTAAGATCTGTTGGCAAAACTAGTTGAAAACACAGTTTGAAAGCAAATTTCCAATTCATAATGGGAGAAGTACAAAACTATTTGTATCAGTAACTTTAATTTTCAAGTCATAAATGATATTCTCATATAAGAAGAAAACCCTGCATTAACTACAGTACACAGACCATGAGAGTCTGCAGTTGAGAGAGGAGCCTATTTACCACGTGACTTCGAAGTAGCCAATGCGGACCGTACGGTGTTGCCAAATCAAGTAATACCAGCTGATTTGAAAATATTGTTTAGTATATTTTAATCAGTGACAAAAATTAGTGAACGGGTGATGTTACAACGTCGCACAAGTCCAGTCTTGCTATTGGCTGCCGCCAACTGCAGACTCTCGTGGCCCCTAGTGTACTAATTGGTCAAGGAAAACAGATAATTTGTCAACAAATCCATAAAAGAATTATTTTATTGTATCACAAAATATAAAAATAACAAATAACAAAATAGTGGTTTAGTGTCTAGAAGTTCAGTCAGTGTTGAGGACTAGACAGACGCCTTGTAGTATCCAAAGACTAGAATGTTCAGTGGTGCTCAGGTCAGCTTCAAACACCAGACCCACACCCATAGCATTGCGTCGCTGGGACGTCGTGTACACTGGCGTTCTCAGTGTGTTCTGGCAAAAAAGGGATATTTTAATACATAATAGGCCTACAGGGTTATTCAAAAATTTTACAAAAACTAAACGGTTAGAAAGAGTGTATTTATAAGTTTGTTTTGACAAGGTTAAGTTTTGTCTCAGTTGCTTGGTTGAACACCAGTACCACAAGCCTGTCAAAAAATGGCTACTACAAAACTGGAAAATGTATCTTGTATTTTAGAATTTGCTTGTACGAATGCTATTGTTAGTGTTCAGTGGAACTTTTGGACCAAATTTAGGAATATGAGACTCCTCATTGAAACTGCATAGGTCATTGGGTTAGGCAATTCAGGACAACTGGATGTTTTAGTACCCGGTAGAGATTGGGCTGTCCTCAGACTCCACCAGACGCTGTGGAAATAAAGACAGTCCTTTGATGCGCTGGCTGCCAAGATCACCTGACTTAAGGCGTAAGAGTAAGTAGGTACAAGTAAGTGTAAATGAAATCAAGATAAATTTTCAAAGTATGTGCCTACAAACTACAAAGTAAATGTATACCATACCTGCAGCTTGGCCCTGTGAGCCTCGACAGGGATGATGTACAAGACTGGCAGTTCCTCTACCAACACCTTGGGTAGTGATCTGGCTAAGCAGTTGTTGGCCACATCCCACCTGGCACCCTCCAGGTATAGACCGCACACATAGCAGCCCTGCCACAATACAACACTTACATCACAAACACAGGCTCGATAACAGGACATTTAGCCACCAAAAAAGTGGAGTGGAACCCAGGAAACATTCCCCTGTCTGTCATAACTGTCAAATTTTGTTAAAAGACTCAAGTGGTCCCTTACAAATTTCCAGTTTCCCTATTCACCTTTTCTCAAGGTCGGGGTCTGCAAGCCAAAAATTTTACTTTCTCTCTGGTCAGGTCAAACATTTTGGCCTTGGATCTCGATAATAGAGAAAATTGGGTTGCTTTCGAAATCTTAATATTAGGCTATAATCAGGTTATAAAGTATTTTACATTATCTGCCCCATTATTTTCTTAAAATCGTGACCATCTTTGCGGTCACGACAAGTAGTGAACATCTTCCCTCGTATCGATGACATCATCATATCATCTCCCACAATGGCGGGGTGGCAGCAAAAACTATCAAAATCACTCACGGTCACAGGTTTAATAGTAATTTTTTGATAGTCCATCTTCACAGATGCTTTTTGCAAAATTAACACTTGGCTTGACCCGACAATGAGCTTCGCCCAAAAACATTTTCCAGCCTGAACCGACCCCTCACTGTTAACTGTTGACCCGACCCAATCTGAAAATATCCTAGAATTGAGCAAGAAAACAACTGGTCCAATAATTATTGGTCAAAATAAGAGAAGATATTACCATCTCTGGCCTAGCTTCGACTTGATCCTCGTGGGTGAAGGAAGTGACACTGGTGTAGAGGGTAGACCTGTCCAGGGGCCAGCCCATCTTGCGACATGCTGTCTGTACCAGAGCTGTGAGGTAGGACTCTGGTACATGTAGCCCTGACATCCACATCACCAGTGGGTCACGACGTTGAGCCTGTCACAGACACAAGTCACTGTCAGTGTATGTATCATTAGATGACAAGTAGGCTTACTGTATATTCATGAACTTCATTTTTGAATTCATTCTGTAAAGTACACATAACTTCCATTTAGTATATTATCACAAGAACAGTCAATGTTTACTTAGGTTTTAGAAAAAAGTTATATCAACCTCGAGGCACGTAATTAGTTGATGGTCGAATGCAGGAATTTCAAATCCGAATCCTAAAAAAATCTAATCTTGAGTCCCAAAAATAATTACAAATGGGCTTATGAGGATTAAAAAAGCAAGAATGGAATAGGAACCATTTAAAAATAAATATTACACTAACCATAAATGACTACTCTTTGCAATGAAAAGTTACGTAATTACTTTTTACACGGCAAAAATAACAGACGACTAATCTGTTACATCTTTTAACCTATTAACCTAAATCGAACGGTCGGTCGGTATACTTTGTCAATCTCACAGTACTGTATATTATGACGTCGATAACCTTTATGGTTAGGCAATGTCACAGTACTGTATAGTGTATATTACGACGTTGATAACCTTTATGGTTAGGCAATGTCACAGTACTGTATAGTGTATATTACGACGTCGATAACCTCTATGGTTAGGCAATGTCACAGTCCTGTATTTTACGACATCGATGGATAGACATTGGATATTTCTTTATTATATTTAAGGAACATTACAAAACTCATAGCATTTTTTAGGTTATGCCTGCAGTTTATATTTACTTTCGGTTGTACAGTTTTGGTTGTTGAAAATTGAAACAGTTGACAAAAGAATAACCAATCTTTGTTCGTTTGTGTTGGCCAAATCCATAAAAGATAGTAAGTAAACGTTACTTTTGCAGTAAACAATGTAATGACCAATTTTTGCAGGTGATAAATATCCAACGAAAACAAGTAATTTCACAGTAGTGTAGCGAAAAAATCTTTATTCCTGTTAAATGACATTTTAACTGTACTTTAGATGTGATATTCACTCCTAAGGAATGGTATTGCTGTTGGAAGCATTTCTCACCAAAAACCTTTCTAAAGGATGCTCAATTAACCAAATTGTACATAAGGATTCTTTGACTCTAATCAATAAGCATAATTTAGTATTGTTCACAAATTAACACTAATAAATGAAGCAGATCCTGCACCTACCCAGGTATTGTACTGTTGCACTCTGCGTTGGAAGTGTTCCATCCAGCCACCCAGACTCTTGCACGTGGCTGGTGCCAGTTTGCGCCACTCCTGTGGCAAGTGGCCATTGAACAGAGACACAGAGACATTGTCCAACACTGTGTCCATCCCAATCTCTCCAGCTAGTGCCTGCAGACCAACAATACAAAGAGTGAAAATAATACAAGAGTGAAAATAACAGAGGCCTGAAAACAGAACCTAAAATGGCTTATTGGCATAAAAAAATTAATTCAATAGGTTTACCCCATGGTTAGCTACAGCTCTGAGCTGTACTCTCCCTGGTTTATATCTAGCTTAAAACAAGCATCCATTTATAAATATGTCACTTTGTCATTTGAGTAGGTGATAAGGAAAAACTCATGAAAGTGACATTATTTTCATTCCTCGTGGAAAATCTAATAATTATTACATGTCAACAAACCTTCCTGAGTTGTGAGAGAGTGAACTGCATCTTGTTGATGAGCAAGTTAAACCTCTCCAGTTCCTGCAGCAGCACTATGATGGTGGGAGTGATGTTCATCTCAAAGTTCTTCCTCACTCTGCTCAAGTCGTACACTGGTGGCAGCTTACGTAGAATGTCACTGGCCACTGAGTCAATCACCTCCTCTCTGCTCACACCTCCCTCAGTAGTACCTACAGAATTTGCAGTAATCACTGGTAAAGATGTTAAATTATTTTTACTATCAGTTAAAACTCTCTATCTCCACAGTCTATTTTAAGCATGTATTATGAAATTTTAGCTTGGGTTTAAATTTAATCATGTACTTAACAAATGCAACTAATTTCAATTCTTAGCATTGTTATGTTAAAATGTGTACATCCTCCCCAACAATTTAACGGATTTCTGCATAGGTGGATTAACAGCTAAAGGTGATTTGCAAACCACAATTGCCACTGGCAATTGACAAGATTCAAACTTGATCCCCCAAATAAGAAGTCCTGCGCTCTAAACATGAGGCCAGCCACTCTGGACGATTTTTAACCTCTTCCGAGTATGTTTCTGAGGTAGGAAAATTTTATCAAAACCGGTCACAAATAATATCATTAGCTATTAACTCAATTCCTAGTTATACTACACTAGGAGCAATTTACAGCTAGGCCTATCATAAACTACACAAGTTACACAATTAATGCACAGTGCTTTACAACTAATTATTGTATAGTGCAACACAGTTAGTTATTGTTTAAAAGAAATACATTTAACCATTGTTCAAAGTGCACCACTTGATGTTCAAATGTTTTACTGTGCAATACAAATAAAAAATTTGTTGGCTAAGAAAAAGTTGGATTTGAAGTGCAATTCAAATTTGAATATCCAATGTTAGTGGCACAAATACAAGAAATTTGAATTAAACCATATATATACCAACCATTATTCCTTCCCAGAGCAGCTAAAACATGTACCACATTAATACGGGGAAAATGCACAGTTATAGAATTATAAGGAAAAACAAATATATTCAATATGATTGAATGATTTACAGATTGCTAGAGTTTTTCACTCGTCCTAAAAGAGTTATTATAAAACAATAAATATAAATAATCAGTGTTGTACTGTCAAAATGTTATCCAGTCAAAAGTAAAACTTTAATCTAAGAATAAAAAAACATTAAATTGCACCAGTACACAAGCATATACCTTCCATGTATTATATACTAGCTGTACCCGCGGGCTTCGCCCCGTTTAACTTCATAAGCATTCGCATGGCTCATTCACGTCCTGGTTGAAGTTCGTTCGCTACGCTCACTCACCTTTAGGTTGGAGCTCGTTCGCTGCGCTCACTTGCCTTCAGGTTAGCTCGTTCGCTACGCTAACTCGCCTCCAGGTTGAAGTTCGTTCGCTACGCTCACTCACCTTTTGGTTGCAAATTAGCTGTTGTCATAAATAAAAAAAAATAATAGTGCTGCACCCTGTTGGTAATCCTTGTAACTTTTATGCTATTGAACATCATAGAACAGAACCAACTTGTTTAATTGAAACAGCTGTTAAGATTCATTGATTCCTTTTAAATATGAAAAATCATAAGATTAACATGGGGAACTACAGAGCCACTGGGGCGGAGCCCGAAAGGGTTTTTGAGATAAGAATATGCTTTAATGTTAATCGGGAATGTGAGCTATCATCATGCCAAATTTCAGCCCAATCCGTCCAGTAGTTTATGCGTGATTGAGCAACACACACACACACACACAAACATACACACAAACTCACAAACTTTCAGATTTATAATATTAGTAAGATAGTATGTAACATAGAGAAATAAAATTTAAAACCAGAGGACTTAAAACAACTTGGAGTTTAGGAACTTAAACAGCTTACTTGCTGCAGATAGGATATGAGACACAATGATTTCATCGTTTAAACTCTTGGATACGGCAGAAAGCAGATACATTTATTCTAAAAATAAAGTTTACAAATATTGAAACATATTTTGGTCGACTAGAAATAGGATACATACCAGTGTGAGGCTGAAGCTCTATGAGATGTAGCCACATCTCACGAGCTGCCTGAGTGTAGTAGCCGATCTCAGCATTGGGGTGAAGACCAAACACACCAGGCACATTGACTAGTGGCAGCTCTTCTATAGCAGCTGCAGCATAACCACAAACATGTCAATGTTTTACAATGGTGTAAAACAGTTGTCTTAATAACTGGCCTAGCATAGACCTTTGGAATCTTCATAACTTTCAATTGGATTTTTCCCCTTTCCCTTGATAACAAAATATTTAATGATAATAATGGTTGAAATCAACTCTATGTAATTTTTCACAGAAGGATCTTTCAAAAAAATTGTTTAACAAATTTATCATTCAAATTTCACAAGAGTCGTTAACAAATTTACTATCACATACAGAGATACTTTCTCAAGATATCTGAGATTTTATCTCCAAAAATATAGTTTGGAAACATCACTTCCAAAAAATAAAGGAATCTTTATGGTATTGCAACTAGTTTGTCCATTTTGGAATTCTCCTTTAAAAGTGACATTTCCTTGAGGCTTACTGAGGTTTATAGGTAAATTATTGTAAATTTTTTAGAAACCGGTTAAAAGATAAGAGTTGGAATACTACCAAAGAAATGGCAAGACTCTATAAAAAGGGGCCTAATGCTGAAAGGAAAATGTCTACTGCTAAAGGAAAAGGAGTGATTTCAAGAAGAGAGGAGGATAGTTTAAGTTCTAATAATCAACACACATAGAAAACTATAGCTTCTAAAGTCTAAACTGATAATAATGAATGACTGATGTAAATTTAGTTTTTAGATCATGTTTACCAAAGCATGTTTATTAAATGTAAATAATGTAATAAATAATAGATTACAAATAAAGATGGAAATATAGTGTGTGTATAATAAGGCCTCTCTATGTTCGAACCAACATAAAGCATGTCCTTATCAAATATCTGGACATTAATTTACCTATATAGTCTTCCCGAGATCCATCAGGAGGTATTGTGTAGTCCACGGCTTCATCCTGGTAGAAGTGGAACGGCTGGAATGTGTCAAACAGGAAATCTCCCATGTACTCATTCATGAACGTCTTGACAATGCGACGATCAAAGTCATCAATTACCCGGCCCCCGTACATTACCTGCAAGGCATTGGACGATTCACATTTATGGTCATTGATAAAAAGCTGTAAAATTAGTGTGTTGCAGTTTTCACGGATTATATTATCCAAAATGTCAAAAATCTGGGCCACAATGTGCAATGGAATACTCAATAGCCAACTATAAACCAAAAACCAATTGCATCTGAAAAATTGTTAGAATAAAATGTTTAGTACAACTATGCTAGTCAGACCCTTGTGATACTTAAAAGATTTATTATTAGGGATGGACGGGATTGACCTTTTAGTTCGGGACGGGATTTTTTCCTGTGCATAAAAAGCAAAAAAGACAAACAAAATCAATATTTGACATTTGTGGCACTGACCTATAAAAACAAAAAAAAATGGGTAAAAATTTACAGGTATTCAAGGTACTTGTGACTCGTGGTCACAGTGCGACCGTCAAAATGACTCGCGAACACAACGGGATCGTCGGTATGACTCCGGGGTCACAGCGTGATTGTCGGTATAACTCCACGGTCACGGCGCGATCGTCGGTATGACTCTGCGGTCATGGTGTGATCGTCGGTATGACTCGCGGTCACGGCACGATCGTTGAAATGACCAGCGTTCGCAGAACTATCGTGAACATCTCTTGCGATAGCGGCGTCATCGTCACTCGCAAAGCGGCAAAATGGCCGACGATAGGATCAGATTCCGTCCCGAAAAATTCCTGAATCAAATGTAATCCTGCCCCGAAAATCCCGCCAGATACAGCTATTAATGTATCATATCAACATAAGTTTCCTGCTGCATCTATGAATTACACATGGCAACTTCAATCAGTACCATTAAGCGTTTTTAGGGTCTCATATGTTGAGAGCAAAACTCTTTTGGTATCCTGCATTTCAACTCATCTCTTTACTGATTTAGCTAAACAAATTTAAAATTTTATATTGATACAAGACTAAAGTAAAAACTCAGTTGTTGTAAATAGACCTTAAATAGGGAGCTAAGAACATTTTGTGAATCTTAACAACTTGTGAACATTACTAGTATGTAATGTACTTACCTCTCCAAACAAGTACTTGAGACTTGCCCAAGGAATCAGAGCATCTTGGACATCCTTAATTTTGTTTAAATAAGCTTCCAGAATTTGTGTGCAAACTACAAAGTCACACTCGCCAAAGTCGTAAGTAATGTTCCAACCAATCTTGTCATACTTTCTGCGTTCCTGAAAACAATGAAAATTATCTATAGATGGGATTTACATAGGAATTTCCTAGCAGTACTCCATTATTATTTAATTAAAAAATGCTGTATGGTTTTAAATATTGAAAATTAAACTTTACCCACCTGAACCACTGCATGAAAAAAGGCCAATACGTAAACCAAACTTTTAAAAGCTGGATGATCACATTGGTCCAATGTGTGCTGGGGCATCTTGAAATAGGTGTTTCTAAGGTTCAACTTCAAACCGTTGGGAGGCTCTGTCACAACTGAAACAACAGAAACCAAAAATGATGAGTTTAAGCTTCTATGGAAGTATCTAACACAAATGTTTTCATAAAAAAATTAGGATGCAAGCCTGTTAATACTTTAAGGAAAATTATAAATACCTGACCCACCATACTCTATGAAAAAAATTACAAAGGACCAAAAACATGACATCACTTACACATACCTAAAAAAATTATAAAAGATCCCACTATGTTCTTAACACAGACTCTAAAGACTATAAACATACTAAGTACAAATAACTTTAATAAATAAACAATTAAAAATTTGAACCCGCAATCCATTACTTATTACATTTCTGTCATCCATCTATTTTACGGGTCAACGTCCCTGTTAGCTTGCACTGTAATATCTAGTGATTTACCTTTGAGAGATCGCTGCAGGATGCCGATGGGGAAGGTGTTGGTAGGGTCGGTGGTGAGCCACAGTCGGAAGTCAGGGTGAGGTTTGGTCATCTTCTCCAGCTCCTTCTCCAAGTCGCGGAGGAAGGCGATGAGGAGATGACAGTTTTGGTACATGAGCCAGTGACCACGAGATATGGCTGTCTCTAGCAGTGTCAATGCCGTCTGGATACATATAAAACACCAGACAGCATGAAAAGGGATGGAAATATATATATGTACAATAAGTGGAACATTTCACATATCTTTAGGTACAGTATTCAAGATCTCAATTGATTACTTTTCAAGTTAAATCACATGAAAATCACTTTAATTCCTCAATAGCTGACTTAATAATAAAATTGATGGAACAAGGTTGTGGGTTTTAAGAATTGTTGACGGTTTACAGCAATGGGAAATAAATAACAGCTAAAATCATTATTTTCAGGACAAAGCAAATCATACATCATAAGTTATATCTACTAATAATTTCCTAAAATAGTAGATTTGTTTATTAATTTCTTTATTTTTGCCAAAAAAAAATGAGCTGACTGGGGTTTTTAAAGTGCAACATTGTTAAGGCCTTTTTTTCTCTTGTTAAATTTTATGTTTTAACGTGTGGAAAGATATGATCAAGTTTTGCTTGCAAGATAATCTAGTCCTCACAATTTTGTTAATCTCTATCAGTTCTGTGAGGACTACAGACACAAACGCAGTTTCATCATATTCAACAAATCCCGACCTAACCACCACCTTACCTTCTCCTGTCCTTGTCCGAGTGACAGGTACTTGAACTGAGTGCCACCTGCTCCTTGTAGATCTGCCAACTTCATCAGGTCAGCTGTAGGGTCAGAGCCAGGACTCAGGATAAACACCACTGGCGTGGTCGGACTGCTCTGCTCAAATATGGCATCCAGGCTGGAACATGGTAATACTTATATATTATCATCTGATTTTACTGTTCTGACTTATTTTATTATTCATAAGGGAACTCTAACTGATCAATTTTAAGCGCAACACCGTGACGCAAACATAAGACGATGCTGCAATAGTTTCACAAAATCGCACAACCAGTTGGGCTTCAAACTTACTGACTCATTGAATCTATTGCAACATTATTAGTTTAAGGAAAACTCAACCCAAACTTGAAATGTTGAGTACATTTGGTGTCTACTTTAAGCACAGGCACTGGGCTCCACTCAGTATTGTCTGTTACCTGATGTAGGGTGGTGTGATGAAGAACTCCCCCATGGTTGTGGAGATGTACTGTGTAACAGCTTGATACACCCTGTCCACTCTGAAGCATCGGATCAACATCAGCTTGTGGAACTGAGACATCTCTGCAGACACACCTCCCGGTGGTGATGCCACCTCTGGTGCATCCAGGTCATACCACTACACCACAAGGTAAAACACACTTCACAGGTCAAATTACAACTTTATAACATTCACTTTAAGTTGCTTAAGTCAAAGACTATTTAGGAATCCATATAACTTATCTATAAATGTAACAAAATATGTCTCTGCACCTTAAAACTGGGGGGAAGGAGATTGTAAATTATATCAGGTTAAGTCCTCTGGAGTTTTGTAACTTACCGTCTTCCAATCTTCAACATTTCTTTCAATGTGATCAGCGAGGTCTCCAAATTGTTTAGGAAATTCAGAAGAGAGTTTTAATATATCTTCCCATCCCTGAAAATATAAAATACTGTATTAACTACCACTAAAATGTTACTTATTATACTTTACATAAAAAAAAATATTTTCCAAAACAACTATGTTAGTTACGTTAAGCAATTAGTAGATAAAATCACTGCAGGGAAATCCTTTGTTTAAAAACGTTTTAAGGACTGTACATGAAGTTTTTTTTTTTTTTTTTAATAAAGAGGTTTGAAGCATTCTTAACCCTCATAATGAACACATACATATTGTCTACCTGGGAGGATATCCAGCGAGCTGGGCAAAGCCGAGGTGATTTCTCCAGCGACACACTGCCTTTGATGAAGAACTCCAGCTGATGTTGACTCACCCTTCCTTCACTCTGCTCCAACTTCATCGTCATTTGGAAGGAGTACAGCAACTTGTGCTTTTCAAATATACCTGTCAAACAGTTCACAGTTAATGGTTAAAAGCTATTTCATCCTGTGTGTCTGGTAAACATAAAAAAAAAAAAAAAAACTCCTCACGTTTATCAGGAAACATTGATTGTCTGAGTAAACGTGTCTTTATAGTGATGGCCTTCAAATATGAAGATTTGATCTTCAGTGGGGCTGATTCGGAACACAAATACTGTGTTCAGAAATAACCAATGGCGTGAATACACAAAATATTACAAAAACACATTGATTACTATAAAAATTTACCTTGAAAGGTATTCAGCTGCCATGCTTGAAAAAAAATCGTCAAATAACATGAGAACGTCATTTTTCAGAGCAGAGATTTCTCAATGTCCTGGATCAAAATTTAAGATGAGAGAAGCTATCAAGGATTTTGACTAAATAATTAACTCTTATATAAACTCTTGTTTCCAAAGTAATATTGTAACTCCTACCTGTACAACCATACTCGTAAACGTTCTTGGTCAGTGTTGTGATGATGTTACGAAGTCGAGTTTTAACAATGACGTCCGGCAGAGCCTTGCGCAGAGAGTAGCCAAAGACCACCAAGTAGGACCCAAGGGAGTATTGATACATTGGATTGACTGCAGCCATGTCAGACATGAGGAAAAACAGCAGAGCCCCTCGTTTGGCCACGGGACGGTAAACGTTACGCAGGGCGTCAATCTCTATCGCTGTCTTGGCTGCTAGTTCTAGCTTTTGAGTCACCTGAAAACAGAAATGGTTTTAGTATAACTGAGCTATGATATGTTTAAGATACGTTTTCATTTTTATATGATGTTAGATTCTGAGTTATAAAAATCTGAGTTTTGACTGTTCATAGCCTTAGAATTAGTGGCAATTCCTTAGCATTCTTGCAAAGATTTCTGGTAAATGCCTTGAGTTTGTCAGTATCTGACAGAGGCTCTTCCCAAGTTTGAGCACACAAATCTCATTCTGTCTACTATACCTAACAGATACGATCTAACACCAGAAAGCCCTGAAAATAAGTTTATAAATGACACAAATTTAATGATAAGACGTATGCTCGCAGATTTCCCTCAAGCTAAAACTCTCGATCTGCATCTCCTCCAGCGCTGGTACCACACTCGACATGGCCTGCACTTGAACAGTAAGGGGAAAAAGTGTATAGCCAAGCAAATAATAAGGCTAACTAATGAATTCCTACATGAAAATAAAACTAAACAAAACAACGCATCTAATACATTGCCATCCCCTGTAGTAACACGTCATGTTGCATCAGTTTGTTCTACTAAAGATGTTAACCATTCGAATGTAGTATCTACTGAAATACCCGATAGCCAAATTCAAGTTCTTGAAGGAAATATGGACAGCGTTATTTCGGAAAATCAAAACAAGTCGTCTGTTGCTTTCGCCCACTGTATATCGGGTGATTTTGGAGACCAAAGACAGATGAGCCAAGGAGTGGCAGTCATCTTCCGCAAAAGGTTTGGTAGACCAACAAAAGCGCAATGTGTGAGCAAAGCTTTGGCTTTACAAAACACTCCGAATGGGGCACTTGTTTATAGTCTTATAACTAAAAATAGATACTGCGAAAAACCTAGTATATCAGACTATGCGGAGGCACATAATCAGCTCATAACAGATTTCAAAAGTAAGAACCTGCAGGAACTGATTTGTTCTCCCCTGGGATGCATACGTGACCAGATTCCTACAAGCGTGTTTGCGAAACATATTGTTCAGTTTCACCGCAGCACAAAAGTCTCAGTCAAAGTTATTGTGGATGATGAGCGAGCTACCAGACATCTCAGAAGAGGACTAAAACACAACGAGTTTGTGAATCAGCTACGAAAGGATATTGCTGAGGAGCTAAGGAGGTACAACATCTCAACACCACCTACCACCAACATCACAGCAGGGCAGGAGCAGTCACAACCACAGGCATCACCATCGCCACTACCTGCATCCACAACAGTACAGGATGTCGAACAAGCGTCTGCCAGCCCTGAGGAGTCTGCAGAAGAATACAGTGGGGGAGGGATCAGTGAAAAAGTCTCTATCAGTGAAGTGGGGAGTGCAAGCCCTATTGTAGTATTTCCATCCGGAAATAACACACGGGACTCCACTTTAAACTCCCCGCTCGTGCTAGGGATGGAAGAAAAATAACACCGCCCAAAAACATTTTTATCAATAAAAATAACAATAAAATAAAAATATTCCATCAGAACATTCAACATTTAGCAAGCCGCATCGAACCACTAGAAATTATTTTAAACGAAAGTAACCCCGATATAGTAGTTTTAACAGAGCATAAATTAAATCAAAATGAGATATCCAGATTGCATGTAAATCAATTTAAATTACTTTCTAATTACTGCCGCACCACCACGACGGGAGGTGGTGTTGCCATCTTTGCGCGTGGAGCTGTGAAGTGGAGTCCAGTTGTTATTCCTGAAGTGTTATCCTTACATGATGACAAACAGTTTGAGAGCAGCATGGTTTGTTTTAAATCCGATACTGAATCATTCTTGTTGGTTGCAGTTTACAGATCACCAATTTCTAAAGTTCCAATTTTTTTAGACAGGCTAAGTAAGCTATTAGATATTGTACTAGCTAGGAATAAATATGTTATAGTGGCTGGTGACATAAATATTAACACATTAGGAAATGATAGGAATGCCACGGATCTAAACTCCGTTCTAGTTAGACATGGAATGCAATATCTGGTTGATTTTCCCACAAGGGTAGTAGGGCCCTCGGAATCTGCAATAGACAACTTTTTGACAAATATTCCCAAATCTAATCTAAAAATAGAGGGACTGGTTACATATCTATCTGATCATGATGCTCAAATTTTGACCCTTGATAAATTAACCAAAAAAACGTGGAAAAACGAGTCACTGAAGTATTTAGACTATAACCTATCTGATGAAAATCTAATTAATTTCAAAATATCATTACAAAACGAGTCCTGGTTTGAAGTTTTTAATGCAAACTGTGAACAAAAATACGAAACATTTTATAAAATTTTCAAATCACATTTTATCACAGCATTTCCAAAACAAGTAATAAAGAAACAAACTAACAGTAAAGAGTGGTATACTTATTCATTAAAGGAGGAATTCAACGAAATCGTGGAATCATCAAAATTAGCTAGATTATTAAAAGACGAAAACTTGTCTAACCTCTGTAAAACAAAAATGAAGACTTTTAAAAAATCGGCAAACAAAACTAAAAGATTACACTACGATAAAAAAATAAATAACTCGGATAATGTTATGAAAACAACCTGGAAAATTATAAATACAGAAGTAGGTAACAAAGAAAATAACTTAGTGAATGACATGACCATTGCGTACAAAGGAACAACTATTGCAGATCCCAGGGCAATATCTAATGTACTAAATGACTACTTTGTAAGTTTATCTGGAAAGAATGGTTCTGTAAACTGTAATAAGTTGTTAGATAATCACCAGCCAGTACTAACAAATTGTGTCAAATCTAAAACATTATTTCGATGTGAACCTGTTTCATGTGAGGAAGTAGAAAAACTGATAAACTCTTTAAGTAACAAACCTTCACGTGGGCACGACGAAATTCCCGTTAAAGTAATAAAATATACAAAACAAGAACTAGTTCCAATTTTTACTCATTTAATTAATTCATCTTTTATATCCGGTCATTTTCCAAAATTATTAAAAGTTGCTAAGGTTGTGCCTATTTTCAAAAAGGGGGACCCTCAGTGCGTAGAAAACTATCGACCAATATCACTTTTGCCAGTTATTTCAAAATTATTTGAAAAGGCAATGAAAATTAGGCTAGTGTCTTTTATAGAAAATAACAACCTTCTATTTAGTGGCCAACATGGTTTTCGCTCAGGCAGATCAACAATTACAGCTGCTTCAAGTTTTTTTGAGAGTATAATAAATTCAATTGATAGCCACGAAAATGTTATAGGAATATCAATGGACCTTACGAAGGCTTTTGAAAGGGTATGTCACCAAACTCTAATACTCAAACTAGAAGATATGGGAGTAAGAGGTCACATTTTGGCGTGGTTCAAATCATATTTATCGGAAAGAAAGCAATACGTTGAAATCATGTCTAATAAAAATAATTGGCTGGTAAAAAACAGATCAGAAATAAAACTTAATCACTTTGGTGTCCCTCAGGGTTCAATACTAGGCCCTGTTTTATTCCTTTGCTACATTGATAAGATTCCAAATGTTCTGTCGTGTGTACCTTGTGGAAATATGTGTTTATATGCTGATGACATTAACTTAAAAATTACAGGAAAAACAGTAGAACATAACGAAATAGATACCTTTATAGAACTTGCAAATATTAAAAATTATTTACTATCCAACAATCTCAAAATAAACAAAAGTAAAACTATTTTTATATCATTTTCAACTAAGCAATGTAAAAACAAAATAGAACCGTTGATTATTTTGGATTCCGATGAAATCAAACAAGTTGAAAAAATAGATTTTTTAGGTTTAAAAGTTGATAAACATCTATCCTGGCAGGACCACGTCGATCATGTTTGCTCAAAGATAAATTCAGGGATATTTGCTTTGAAAAAGATGTCATATCTATGTAATATCAATACTTTGAAAACAATATATCATTCTCTTGTCCATAGCCACATTTCATACGGTATATCTTTATATGGAGCTACAACTAAGAAAAATCTTAATCGAATCTTAAAATTACAGCAAAGGGCATTAAGAACAATGATGGGACTAAAAAATGATGAATATGTTAAAATTCATTTCAAAAATTTTAAAATATTAACTGTGTTTGCCCAATACATTTTTGAAACTGCTCTCATAGCGAAAGAAAGTATATCAGATAACGCACAATTATGCTACAATACAAGAGGAAAAGCCCTAAGAGAAAATAGTCGCAACCATCTTTTATTTTCAAATAAAAAGCCCACCTGTGCCGGAAGAAGATTTTTACGGTTTCTTCCAAATCATTTAAAACCCATTGGCAACTCAATCAAATTTAAAAACAAATTAAAAAATTATCTCATAGAAATCGCTCCTTACTCCATTAAAGAGGTGTTTCCCCAATTAACCTGATTTTATTGGTAGTTTCTTAGTATTATATAAATTGTAATTTTAGCTTATAACTTTATTTACTAGGTTAGGAATCTGACACTATTCAATGTACAATGTACAATTGTTGAATAAAGATATTGAAATGAAATGAAATGGATGTAGTAGTTTAAGATATTCTGCCAAATTGTGATTTCTAAGTAAAACTATCAGATTAAGCCACTTTTAAACACTAAAATATAAATCTTAGGGGAAAGTAACTAGAAAATTTGAAAATATCGCATGAAAACTCAAATCACAAATTTCTTTTAAAAAACTGACATTATCTCAGTGTAACTTGTTTACTTAATTACAAAAAAAACCATAGCAGTTTTCAAATCAGCAAAATCAAAAGCAATCAATCAGAATCAAACAATAAATTCTTTCATATACTAACACACAAATGGGTTATTTAGGCTGATGATAAATACAGAGTGCAGAATTGAATGGGATGATCTCTGTTTTGTAACTGACTAAGGCCAGCTTTTTAGTCAAGATCATTTTTTATCCAAAGTTTAATAATCAAGGGCAAGTGGGCATAGTTTCAAACCATCAAATCAAAAGTTTCTGACTTTTCTCAGAATCAAATCTGCACCCTTCAAATTAATATACAAGATCTACAATAACCACTCAGCTACCCCAAATTAACCTTTTATCTTGCTCCTAATGTATTCATACAATACCCTCCACACAGCAAACCTGTACACTACATATCACTGATATATTGTACTGATATGGATTTCAATTTTTCTGATTCAATTTTCACTAAAATAGCCTATTTCCTTAAACTTGTATTATTATTTGTGAAAAAGTAAATACGGTCCCGGGTCTAGGTTTTACCATGACGTACATAACATACACTAATAGTTTCTGTCTGTAGGGGAGGTGAGGTACATAATTTGTCTCACCTCAAAAGCCTTAGCTTTGGTCTCTTCCAGGGTCTGTATGAGCTCAGTGTTGTCCAGCATGTTGCCTGTAGACGACGCCAGCTCCCTCAGCAAGCTGTCCTCTAGTTGCTGCAGCAGATTCTTGTTGCTACTTGTCTCTTGTATCAGAGACTCTCGCTTCTCCTCCAGGTCTAGCCGCTCATTGCGCACCACCACACTCAACAGCTGGTCCTCCAGACCCTGCAGTTATCAGGAGTAACAGATCATTAGCAATGTTGTGTAAAACACTCAGAAATATTTAAATTAGTAAAATATACTTCTTTACCAGCTTAAGATAATCCTTAAAAATATTTTTCCTAAACAAAAATGGTTATACTACAGCCGATTCTTATCCCATAAGAGTAAAACTATTACTAACTTATTAAACTAATTTGGAAATAACTTACAGATAAAGTGACAGCATAATTGATGACAACAGCTTTGGCGTAAACTGCAGGGTCAAATGTTGGGTTTGCGAGTTTGGTGGTCAAATACATGCGGAATTTCGGATCATAATCCACCTCCTTGTCTCCTAGGACCATGAAAGTTCTCCCACTCTGAACTGCAATTAAATGTAGAGCAATTCAGGAAACGTTTACATTTAAATTTATATGGTTTATTATAACAAAGCACAGTAGGTACTTTTTTATATGACACAGATCCATTGTTACTGATATGTTTTAACATTGTTTAAATTGCAGCTGACTTTTAACTTGTTTTTGTTATTGTTTTTGTTTCTAGTTTTTGACTCATGAATAAGTTCAGTTCTATTTTATTAAACTAATTTACCTATCAATTTATGTATTTACTTCAAACATAAAACTGGCGACGAGGATGATTTTATGGAAAACTTAGAGTGCAAGATAGTTTATTCAATTCCACAGTCAATTCATTATAATGTCTGAAGATACATTACCAGCAACTCTTAATAATCCTATGTTGGTAAGTCAACCTAGATGTGAAAAATTTAACCCTAATTCATGCGACATTGATGTTTGGAATATTAAATTCAAGGCAAATTTATGTTTGGCCAATATTACAAATGATGATATTAAAATATGTTTATTCATTGACTGCCTAGATAGTACAGTTCTTAAAACATTGGTAACTATTTGCAAGCCAAAAGAAATTAGTGAATTCACTTATGAACAACTTTATGAACTTCTGGTAAAACATTTCAAACCAGTAAAGTTTAAAGTTGCCGAAAGAGTAAAATTCTTTTCACTGAAGCAAGGTGTTGAATCTTTGTCCACCTTTGCAAGTAACTTAAAAGAATTAGCCAGCAGTTGTGATTTCCCTGGTGACTTTTATCAAGATGCTCTCATTACATCCTTCATAATGGGTATTAATGAAGATTCTATTAGAGCTAATTTACTTCAGAAAGATTACACAGATTTCAATACTGTACTTGAATTTGCTAGAACATTAAGTTCAGTTTTTACTACTTCAGCAAAGAAAAATCTGATTTCATTTTCCGATAATGAGAGCAATGGAGAGGTTCTAAATACAAATTCAAACTATTTATGCTATTCTTGTGGTGGTAACCATTTTAGGAACCAATGTAGATTTAGAAATGCAATATGTAATAATTGTGATACAAAAGGTCACTTAGCAAAAGTTTGCAAAATTAAAAGGAGAACAGATTTTCAAAACAAAAAAATTGGTGGACATGGAAAAGAAACGTACAACCGACAAGTAAATTTCACTGACAATGAAACAGAAAGAGATTCTAGGACCTTTATCGACTCTAACATACTTGATTGTTCACCTAAGTTGACAAATGAAGCTATTTTTTCTCTTGGTCTTCAGTGTCATAACGTCAGTGTATTTTCTCCAATTTGGGTTTCTATCTGTATCAATAGTATTTTAATTAATATGCAACTAGATACAGGAAGTTGTGTTTCTGTTATATGTCAACGAACTTGGGAAAGATTGGGAAAATTTCCTTTGTTACATTCAAATACAAAACTGACATCTTATAGTGGCCATTGCATAAACTTGATTGGTGAACAAACAGTTAAAGTGGCATTCAGGAAAACTAAATGAGAGCTAAAGCTGTACGTTGCTGAAGGTGGCACTCAGGATCTTTTAGGTAGAGACTGGATCGAGGAGCTTAAAATCAACGAATTGCCACTTAATTCATTACAAAGTGATTCTTTATGGGTTTCCAAGGAAGTTGATGACATTTCAAGGTCAGGGTTTCAAAGTTCACTTCCAAGAATGAGCTTAAGTAAATTAATTGATTCTAATAAGGAACTCTTTTGTAACAAAAGTGGCCATTGTACAACATTCACGGCACACTTAATTTTAAAGGAAGACGCTTCTCCTATTTACAAGAAGGCAAGGCCAGTTCCATTTGCAATAAAGGACAAAGTGTGCGAGGAAATCGACAGGCTTGTAGAAGCTGATCTGATAGAACCAATTGACTATTCTGATTGGGCTGCACCTTGTGTAGTTGTTAAAAAACCTTCTGGTCAAATAAGAATTTGTGCAGATTTTTCAACAGGATTGAATCAGGCTTTAAAGATTCAGAAATTTCCTCTACCTACACCTGAGGAAATATTTGCTAAGTTGAATGGAGGAGAAAAATTCTCAGTCATAGATTTATCTGATGCCTACTTGTCAATACCAGTAGATAGAGATTCGCAAGACTTACTAGTGATTAATACCATCAAAGGACTTTACAGATACAAGCGACTTTGTTTTGGAATCGCATCCGCTCCAGCTATATTTTCTAAAGTTATGTACAACATGTTGAATGGGTTGCCAGGCGTAGCAAACTATCTAGATGATATAATTGTTACAGGGCACAATGATGAAGAACACTACAAAAATCTAGAGAATACTTTCAATAAAATTAAAGAGTTCGGATTCCAATTGAACAAAGATAAATGCAAGTTTATGCAGGAAACAGTGACATATCTTGGGTTTGTCATAACTAAAAATGGCATACAAGTTTCGGATTCTAAAGTTCAAGGCATTGTAGATATGCCACAGCCATCAAATGTCAAAGAGTTGGAGGCATTTTTAGGGATGGTTACATACTACTCCAAATTCATACCAGAATTTTCAAAAGTTTGTTATCCTTTAAATCAACTGCGGAAGAAAGGAGTAGACTGGTTGTGGACTGATCAATGTAAACACAGTTTCAACAAATTAAAAGACTTGTTAATGAATGCACCTGTACTGACACATTACAATCCAGAGTTACCCATCATTCTTGCTGCAGATGCATCAGCTGTAGGAATCGGTGCTGCAATTTTTCATAGATTTTCTGACAACTCTGAAAAGCCTATTGCATATGCTTCAAAAACATTGACTTCCACTGAAGCGAACTATTCTCAAATAGAAAGAGAAGGGCTGGCCATCATTTTTGCGATAAAGAAATTTCGCCCATATCTACTGGGAAAACACTTCATTTTACAGACCGACCACAGACCCTTGCTTACAATTTTTGGATCTAACAAAGGGGTACCTACCACAACTGCCAATAGACTTCAGCGTTGGGCACTAATACTGTCGAACTATACGTATGACATTGAATACATATCTACAAAGAATTTTGGCAAAGTCGATGGTTTGAGTAGATTACCGTCATTTCAACCTAATTCTTTTGATTCCAATGATGAGGGACACCATACAATAGTAGCGACAATTCAAACAGAAGTGCAGTCCGAGATTCCTATTACTTGTACTGAAATCGCTGAGGAGTCGGTTAAGGACCCTGTTTTGAAGAAGGTGATGCACTATGTAAAAGTTGGTTGGCCTAATAAGTGTCCAGATGAGAACTTGAAGCCTTATTTTTCTAAGAAAGATGCACTGACTCTACATAATAACTGTCTTCTGTGGGGAATAAGAACTGTTATTCCACCTAAATACCGAACTTACATCATGAACTACTTGCATGAATCTCACAATGGCATGGTCAGAATGAAGTCAGAGGCTCGGGGTCATGTATGGTGGCCAGGTATGGATGCTCTAATTGAACAGACTTGTCACCGTTGCCGTGAATGTAACTTGTTTGCAAAAGATTTACCAAGTAAAAAACATCTATTCAACTGGCCTAAAGAAAGTGAACCTTGGAGTCGAATCCATTTAGATTTTGCTGGACCATTTTACGGACAAATGTTTCTCTTAGTAATTGACGCTTTCTCGAAATGGCCAGAAATAGTACCTATGTCCTCTATTACCACAGAAAAGACAGTAGAAGCGCTCAAGAATTTGTTGTGTAAATATGGAATACCTAGAACAATCGTCTCAGACAACGGAACTTCATTTACTTCGCAAGGTTTTAAAGATTTCTGCTTGCGTAATAATATCAAACATATTACGACTCCAGTAGCTCACCCAAGTTCAAATGGACAAGTGGAGAAAAATGTAGATACTTTTAAAAGAGCTATGAACAAATTACAGTACAATAAAGAGCCTAGCTTGTTCACAGACAACTTGAGGACATATTTATTTCGCTATCGAGCTACACCTCACACTGCAACTGGACAAACACCTGCATTTTTGTTCTTGGGTCGTAATCTGCGAACTAAATTAGATTTTATCAAACCTTCACAAGAGATAAACTCAAGAGATGAACCTTCTGAAGTGCTGCGATATAAGAAAACCAGAGGCTTTTCTATTGGGAGTAAAGTGTACATTCGTACTTTTGTTGAAGGGAAAGTAAAATGGAAAATAGGAACCATACTTAGACAGTTAGGTAGGAACACATGGTTGATTGATTCTAATGGACACACTAAAAGACATACAAGTCAAATGCGGAAATTTTACCAAGACAATGAATCGGAAGAGGAAGACGACCCCTGCATTAAACAATTACCACAGCTACTGTCTTCTTCAGATTTCCAAGTACGAAATGAAGAAGTACATGTTCGGAATTCAGAAAACCATGGATCACCAGCTGTATTTCCTAGCCCTAGAGCAATCCCTGCAGTAGCTTCACAACATCCGAATGTCCCTCCTCAGCTACGATCTAGAACATCCACTGCAGAAGCTTTATCCCACCCGAATGTCCCTCCTCAGCTGCGAAGATCAACAAGGACCTTCAGGCCACAGAGGAGGTTAATTGAAGAAGCCTAAACTTGGTGGGAAGAAGTGATATGTTTTAACATTGTTTAAATTGCAGCTGACTTTTAACTTGTTTTTGTTATTGTTTTTGTTTCTAGTTTTTGACTCATGAATAAGTTCAGTTCTATTTTATTAAACTAATTTACCTATCAATTTATGTATTTACTTCAAACATAAAAGTTACGGATCCATGATAACCTTAAGCCTCTATTGCTTCATTAACACAAACTATCTGATTAACCTTTATAAACTAAACTATATCAACTTTGCAGGCAACACACAAATTTAACATTTGAAAAAACAAGCACTTACCTTTAATAATTTTTTCCAAAACACTATCAACAACAGGATCGATAAAATCCACATCCTGAAACAAAATCGGGAAACCGTACTTTATAGCCATTTCCAGGTGTTTAAGAAAATCTGAGTCGTTGAAAGTGACGATTTTCAGATTGAAGGGTTCCTCCTTCTTCTTGATCCAGTTAAGTGCTTGCTCCTGCGGGTCGATGCAGAGGGGGAAACGGCTGGCGCGGACAGTGAGGATTCCGTTCTGTACGGACAGCTCGTCTGGCGGCAACCCTTCCGAGGTCCACTTGCTCACAGTGACGTCGTCAGTAAGTTCCGCCTCCAGACGGAATGGAGTCACCAGCGGGATCTCCTTGGACCTGAGACTGTCTGTCCAGTCGCGGTAGACCATCTCTGTGCGGAACTCCCAGCTGAACGGTCCTGTGTATGCCAGGAACGCGGCACTCAGCAGACAGTTGCCAATCAGACAGTTCTTGTCTTCATGTAACCTTTGTAGCTCTAGCTCCCACCTGTGGACAGACAAAACACTCTCAAAACACTGATGATAAACTCCTCAAAACTATAATATAATAACCATTTCACTACGGATTCTCAGGAACTAAAACTATGTGAGCAGCATATTTCTAATTTCCTTGAATATTATTTGAGTAAGAATTCAAATGTCCACATCACATTAAAATACTTACAGACATCTAAAGTATGTAGAAAGATGGTAATTTATTTTCCAATCAGTGAAAATATCATTCTTGCCAAAAATATTCCCAGTGTTTATCAATCATAGAAGAGTTTACTTATCTTACCGTTGACTCTCAGAGCTGAGGCCAGATATGAGTTTGTCTGCAGCCACCAGCCGTCTCTGCATCACATCAGTCTCCTCTTGTATCTCTTGTCTCTCTTTCATAGCTAGGATGTACTGCTCGTTCAATCCTTGTAAAGTCGCCTCTGTGGAAAACATATCAAATTTGAAAAACTGAGCTGATCAACTAACTAACACTGTAGTTAGAGAACATTTGCTTTTATAGCATACCACATTAATTATTGTTCAATGTTTCAATTGCTCAAATTTATGCATATATTTTGCATGTCATTATCAAGAAAACGTGTTAGAATTTGTTATTGCTCGTTAGATAGCTAGAATAGTTTGTATGTAGTCGTAAAATTAATTAATTAAATCAAGTTCTTATGTACAATAAAGATTTTTTAAGATGTCAGAGTATTAAGGCATTAAAAGACTGCCAAAGCATCTTTATAATGTTGATAAGCATTGTAACTAAAGTTAAAAAAAGTTACTATGTGGTTAACTATAACAGAATTTACGCAGACAAATGATAAATGCCATAAAATAAAGAGGAGTTTTGTAAGACCTAAGGCCAAACCATCCTAACTATTGATGGCAGAGATAAAAAGTTATACAACAGCTGGGTATTGAAATAAAAACTATTTACTGTTTTTAAGGAAGTGTTCCACAGTTTTTTTTTTCTCATGTCGACGCCAGAGGCATTTTTTTATTATGAAGTCAAACACTTTTAAGGGAAAGCGGTCCAAACCCATTAAAGTTTTGTGGATGTGCCGGGGATTGAACCCGTCCCTCCCGCACCGAAGTCCGAGACGCTAACCCCTAGGCTAGCAACACACCCAAACACACGACACACACAGTTAAAGGTTGTCACGATATTTTAAGGTTAAAGCCAATGCAATAATGTTTAAAATAGTTTTGTGCTTTTAGGATCAAGTTGTGTGCGCTTTTGTAATCAAAGACACACACAGAAAAGTATAAAGAGTGTTCTGTTTGTTGGAGTTTGATAATACCAAACAAAACATTAAAAGAATACATTGTCAAGGAATGGTACAGGAAATTCCAGGATATTATGAAACAGCTCCAAACGTTTTGTGGACTTTGTGGTACTGACTTTTGAGACACTTTGACACATGGACATTATACAGCACATTGTAATCACCAATTGCAGAGATCTCCTTGTTGAGGTTGTCCAGGTATCGTTTGGCCGAGTTGAACTCCTTCTCCAACTGCGCCACCCTCTCTATCTTGGGCTTCACCTCCTTGTAGACTGTACAGAAGCCCAGCACTGCCTTGACAAAGGTCAACAGTCCAAACCCAGCCTTGCTGATGCTCTCCATCTCCTCCAGCTTCTTGCATCCCTGCCACATGATATTGTCAGTGAAATATTGATCAAAACTACAACACTTTAATGTAGTTGCATTACAAGATGTATCATTGTGGTTAAAATATACAGTATAATGTTTGACAGAGTATTTATAACAAATACAAACCAACAATTTTTTGTTTTTACCACACTAGTAACAATACCTCAAGACCATACATACCTTGATAAGGGTTTTGACAGCTTGTTGCTGTTTCTGAGTGACGTTCTCACACTTCATCTCGCGCAGACGTGAAAGGAAGTTGGGATCAGTCATCATCCCCTTGGCAGCCTTCCAGCTGGTATCCTTCAGTCCTCGGATGATAGCTACACACTCACACACTACCATCACGGCCTCTGGTGGTGTGGCAAACGACCTGTCAACAGTGTTACTCTTAAGAGCCCATCCTTACAGATTATCCATACTTCAAATATGCCTCTGCTATTTTTACTCCATAGAAGCTTCTCACTCACCTAATCTCTGTGATGTCTGCCTTCTCCAGACGTGAGAGAGCCTCCCTAGCTGCCTCCAGTGCAGGCAGAGCCTCCTGCAGTTCTGTGTCTGCCTCTGCCTTTTCCACAGAGATTTCCTTGCTCTGAATCTCTATCTCTCGGCTTTTGGTTGTAGCAACCTCTTTCTTGCTGTTTGCCTCCAAAGTCGCTGCACAAGAACAAATAAAACCACCTTACAACTCAAATATGTTTTTGTAATTGTAAATAAATATTTAGAAATTAGTGAGTATTTTATGTCCCTTTATAAAATAGCTACTATAAGCTGAGTTGTTTTACTGCTTGCTCATTAACTTGTAGACCACTGATTTGATTAAATTTATAGTTTTTTTATAGATCAAAGGATTTGAACTGTATAATTGAATATAGAAATCAGAATAAACTTTCACCTCAGTTTCTGTAAAATAAATATAACTTTTTGGGGTATGGCATAGAAAAGAAATTCAAAGTAAACACTACTGACCGGCAGATATTTTGGCAAGCAAGGTTTCGCAAGCCTCAGTTTTCTGTGCCACTGCCACCTTCTGTATAGCCAGTTTGGCGTTGAGCTCGTCAAGCTGCACTGAGGCCTCTGCAATTTTCTGCATTCCTCCCTCTAGCCGATCACACTACAAACAGTAGGGTATGACAAGACTAGCAGAATTTCCAAAAAAGTGTATGGAACTGTTGTTTATTTAAAAAGTGATTATAACCAAGCAAACGTAAAATGATGAACCAGCAATAAAGACAATGTTCACATTTATCAATAACTTGACTATCACTCTCCTTTTCAGTAAACACAGTGGTGTTTTGTTCGAGGGTTGTTAGTAAATGATAGCCTTCAGCAAGGTTCAGTTGCAACCAAGCAAAATGGTTCAGATTTGGAACCAGGTTCATTTACTTTACTTCTCCTACTATAACTATGTTGGCGTTATAAAACTTGAATCTCTATATTAGCTAGTTCCTACTACTATGCAACAATTAGTCTTGTCTTGTAGCTGAAAATGATGTGAGCGAGAATAAATGCTCCTGCAACATATTGCAATATTTTTCTTTGAATGTCGAAACATCATTGGGCATTACGACAATACTGATTGGAGGATAAGATTTTGTTTCCAGCGTTCTTCTTATAAACCAATTTTTTTTACAAACATATTTAAATAAAGCTACAAAAAATATTTTTACGATGAATGTAGTAGTACGATACTGATCATATTGTTTCTGTTAAATCCAAATTGTAACAAAAATAATTTTAAAACTTACCTGAGCTAAAATAAAGTTATTTTTCTCCTCCAAGAGAACAAGATACACAGATATGAAGTCAAGGTAGTGTTTGGGAGTGAGGTAATTCTTTCTTCGCAGTTTCACCATAAACTCTACGGTGTATGAGGCCACACCAGTGTGGACCTCCACTACGTGGTCCACGATCTGACTCAAATATTGTTCTGGGATCTTTGGCACCTGAAAACAAATCACAATGATTTGTGTATCCCATTATATACATGGGACTTGCTACCTACTGTGCCATACCCCAAAAAAATATGTGTAATAAAACTAAGTTAAGATAATTTTGTGAATGTGATTATGCATACTAAAAAAACACTCCTGAATAAAGAATAATTTTTTCTGGATTTAGAGAAGGGGCATTGATAATAATTGCATACTAGGGTTGTGCTTAAAGTCATTCAACCAGCTAAAGGATTAATTTCCATTACTGTAAGCAATAACAGTGAACAATTTTGTAATATTTTCAAAAAAGATTACTCCTAATTGTGTCTGCCTATGACTAACATGCATGTTTAAAATAAACAAATGAATTTTACATACATAGATATATACAATCTTTTATATGTATTTACCGTCTTGTGAGTAAACAGGATCAGTGTAATCAGTATATTACGTTACTAGTCCTGATAATAAGTGTTTACCGGACGAGTGTGGTCGTTCCCGTGCGAGACAAAGTCGAGTACAGGATTACCATACAAGTCCGGTAAACACATTTTGGACGAGTTACGTACGATAGTTTACGCCATACTACTAAATCTGTACAAATCCTTATATATTACCACCAACTAAAGGACTAAAAATCTCTAGTCATAACCTCTAAGCGAGGTTATGTTTTTGTTTACAACCACTCATTGCCACCCAAATACAGTATAATCAGCTGATTGGTGTCCGGTAAAACTCATTACAGTACAGTAGTACGCAATGAAATCCCATTTGATTAAGCTGGCGGCAAACAGCTGTTTTCTGGACTAAATACTTGCGTGGGAAGTTTGTTAAAACAGTGTAGTGTGGCGTAAATATATTATTACAAGTGATTATTATTATATCTATTTATTTTACAGCTAATTTAATAACACGTACAATACTGATCAAGAAGTTATACATAACATACTTACATCTTTTAAAAAGCGTGTAGCAACAGCATACAGGGCCTGAGGTGGCCACGAGAATATCCAGTCAATACAAGTGTTGTTGACGAGACCTGGGAAACTACGACATCTGGTGCGAAGTACATCACCTGATGGAGACATGGACAACACTACATGTAGGTTGTCTATACACTTGGCAATGAAATACTGCCAGCAACCTTCCCTAAAAGCAAAACAATACTTTTTATTCAAATCATACAGCCTTGACCCTAATAATCTAGTTGGGATTTATTTCAAATGTGCGATTTGCTGCTGAAGATGAGCTTTCATTGCTCAAAATATTGTACAGTACAACTTATATGAAATTATTTGACTTGACTGGCAACTACTTACATAGGTGGATCAAATTATAATTAAAAAAAAAACTGTTATTTTAAACTAGTTGAGATAAAAATAAGCCTCTTGCTGAAATAAACTCTTTACTTTTGATCAGGTGCTTATCATTTAGGTGTCTGTTTTTGTTAAATAACCTCCCATGATCTTTTTTTAACATTTGCACAATGCCAATAAACATATTTTGGGTTCGATTGAAAAAAAAAACCAAAACCCATGCCTACTGAGCAGTTGATTTCCCCTCCAGGTGTTTGTTCATAAATTGTGTGTTGTAAATGGTTGCAAAATTAAATTTAGAAAAAAACAAAACAGTAGTACATACTTTGTTATTCCATATCCCTCGGATTTGGCAGAGTTACGAACTTGGTTGATAATCCCATCTTTGTCATCATCAGAGAACAGAGCCGGAATCATCCCAATCATCAGTATGTTGTTGATCATCTCTAAGAAACCTAGAAAAGAAAATTGTCAATCACAAATGTATTGTCTTTGGTTTTCAAATATTACAATCTTATTGTTGCTAGTTAAAGGTTTATTCTCCCTTGCCATACCCTTCCAGCTTATTGTGAAATATGGCAATGTTATGTCCCATAAACTATCAACTATCAAAGTTAAACAGCTAAAAGATAAGATATAACAAGTTAAGGTTAAGGATTTAACATGCAGCAAGGCCTAGGTTTTTATGATTCTTTCTGAGGACAACAGGTTTACCTGAATGGGAAAGAGTACAATCTGATTCACTAAACAATCTGATTCACTAAACATTACACAATACACAACAAATAATAGTATATTACATTACTAGCCAACAACGCTAGTGGTGTTTTACCGTGTGAATGCGGGATTTTCGTGGGGCGAGTAACATACGATACTTTACATCATAATACTCAGAATAATTAGTACATTTTAAACGCATAACACAATTTATTTAGGATATAACATAGATTATAATATTTTTATATTACAGAAAATGAAATATGCCGTTGCAGTTAGCTGTTTATTTCATCACACCGTCTGAAGTGCACAGTAAAAGTACATAACATTACTTTTCCGGGTTTAGGCACGGTAAAGGTCAACTTTCCAGCCTATCAATACGGATGGAAAAGTAACTGATTCTGTGTTGTATGATGTAAAAATATTTCCTTTCATTCGGACTGATGACAACTCTCCCCAAATCAAGCCTCCTTTGGTTGAAAGTGACTGTGAAATATTCTAAATTTTGATGGAGATGCTAACCACTATAACCACTAGCTGAAAATGTACACATACACACATACACACAGGTAGATTGTTTAAGTGTATAGAACATTATATTTGAAACCAAATAAATTATAAATTAAGCTTGCCTCCTGAACTGTAATTAGCAGCTGAATAATCTTCATTACTAACCTATATAATCAAATGAAATCAATTACCTTCCTCAGCAATTTGAGCAGCTGTAAACAGAAACACAGTTGGTTTCTTGTTGACTCCAAGCTGGATAAATAGTTTGCGCATGTCTTCCTTGAACGCTGCCTCATTGTAGCCTCGACTCAGCGTGATGCTGAACATGGAGCAGCCTAAGGAAAACAAACAGTCATATACTGAACACGATGCATGTCCTTGTAGTATATAAGATGTTTAATAAGCTACCAAAAAGTATAAATGACAATCCTTGGGGAATTGTCCTTAAATTTGTATATAAAATTATTATTGGAAAGATCTTATATACTTGCCATACTTAAATATTTACTATAAATTGGTTTAAAATGCCTGCATTTATGCAATCTTGTTTGTAGCTGAGTTGCTACCGGTTTCAACTCACATTGGAGTAATCTTCAGGCAGTTAAGATGTCTTCTCACTTCATTCGAAGGTTGTCAATAGATAATAAATAAATAAACAAAACACAAACACGTATACAGACATAAATAAGGTAGTAGGCTATAAAATACAGAAAATGGTAGGCCTACGGGACACGGCACAACGTAATTGGGCGGCGTGATATGTTCTTATTTATGTCCGTGTACGTGTTTGTGTTTTGTTTATTTATTAATTATCTATTGACGACCTTCAAATGAAGCGAGAAGACATCTTAACTGCCTGAAGATGACTCCAATGTGAGTTGAAACCGGTAACAACTCAGCTACAAACAAGATCGCATAATGCAGGTATTTTAAACCAATTTATGGTATTTAAATGCGATCAGGAGGCTAAAATTCAAATATTTACTACTACTTTAGTATGATATCCTTAGATACTATAGATACATTGAAATTTTTCTAGATTACTTATAAAAGAAATGGATCAAATAAAACAAAATTCCTTTTTTGTTGTTGTGTGATTGACAGTAGGGCCTACTGGATATCTTTGCTTTAACCCATTTGCATCGGATGACGTACCAGTACGTCAAGTCCGTGATGTACAGTATCACGGCTTGCGTATTGGTACGTCAGCCATGAAATTTGAGTTTTACAAAAAATGTACCATATAACATTTAAATTTGTTCATCAAAATATTATATTCCTTGAATGATTTGATAATTATGTAATACAGGCAGGTAAGTATTTTTTTCCTAAATACATATAAATATACAAAAATTGCATGAAATATGACATTCAAAATATTGATTTATATTAAGATAATTGAGTTGGGACAGTGCCTTCAACTATTATTACTAAACTAAAAGTAGTAGGCTATATAAAAGCAAATCCAGCTACTCCATTTTCATAAAATATTTAGTTTGGGAAAACATTGCACATATATAAATTAAGTGATTGGTGACAAAACATATGTATTTGTTTAGTAAATACAGGCAATGTAATATTCAAAATTCAGTTATACATAACTTTCCAAAATGCGTTATGTACATATAACCTATTTTTAAATTTTGTGATATTACTGGCACCTGGCCACGAAGCCCGGGGATGTTGCTCCGGTTGCCCCTGTATTCTTAGCCCGTTGCAAAGCACAGGCAGAACAACTAGTAAACATATGTATGTATATAAATAAACAAATATAATACATGTGAATTTGAACGGAAGGTGTTTTTAGCCTTTGAGCACCTCAAAATGAAAATGGAATCAGTCTGGGGGCTAGATTATAAGGAAAATTCGCTAAAAATTAATATCCATAAAAATTGTAACTGTGCTTCGAAGTAGAGTCAACATCAACTAAGTGATGTAATATTTACACAGATGTGTAGCATTAAAAACTTATGGCACAGTTAGGAGAAAACATTCATTTAACATTAGTGTTTTCTGTTGGATAGTCCTCTGAAATATTGTGTTTATGTATGAAATCTTTATTCAACATAGGACGAGCTAGACATGGACATGTTAGTTTTCCCAATGTTAACATTGGCTGTGTTTCTACAAGTGGTGAGTATGAAGATGAGAGTACTGTTCTTGAAGAGGTTGCAGGAAACATATGGAGAGTTTTTGACAGCTATCAGAAAATTTCTTGGGGTTCCATTGAATACAAATTATTAGACACAGACAAAACACCATCTTATACTTGTGGGTGCGTTAAACATTGGACTGTAGAAATTGGACTTTGTCATCTTGGGTGGTATTCTTCTATTTCAGACAATAAGCTTTACCTGAAAAACATTGAATGTAAAATGGTAGATTTGGTGTTTGATCACTTCTACATTAGAACAAAAGAAGAAAGAAAATCTAATTTTGTGTCTTGCTGCAATATGTGGGCTGGTAGAGACATTTTTTCTACTAAAAAACTTAAAATTGAAATTAAGATGAGAGCATTCAAGTTTCAGATAGTAAAAAAATCAAAAGATAAGTTTGAATGTAATCTTTTCTGGGATGATAGTACACAATCCAGTGATTTTGATCTATCTCAATTTGATGAAGCTATAGGTAAGGGGGAAATAACTGATGATCATCGGAAGTATCTTGAGGGAGTAGTAAAAACAATCTACAATTCAAAAAACTTCCAGAACATTTTCAATGAACTGTTCAAGAAAGCTACCAAGAAAAGTATATGGTTTGGTTTTGGTTCTCTATGTGAATTTAATGACAAACGTTTCAGCTGAGTAAAAAGGTTTGGAAACATTTACAAAAGTTTATTAAACTGCTTTTCAGTTCCATATTTATTAGTTTGATTTATTGCCCCCTTAACACTATCTATACTATAATACGAGTAACGTTTGTCCACAATGATTTCAAAATCGGCTCCTATGATTTCCTCTAAACTGTTTGGAATATCTTAGTTTCAGGCTAAAATAACCATGCTAGCCACTGTTCTGGGAAAATTAGTTTTTCAACTTTATGAAATTTTAATATTTTTAACATTGGTCTTATGGTAAGCAAGCCAAAAAAGTTTTACCAAAATGTAAATAAAAGAATTGTAACATGTGCTTTTAACAAATCACTTACAGTGCAGTGGCAAAATCTATATAAATAAAATTACAGTTTTGTCTGTACATTGCTTAGAATCATGCAGTTTTTGGTTATTTTTACATTTCGTAGTCTAAGAAAGCCGAAACGAGTCTTATCTCAATTTCTGTCTGTCTGTCTGTTTGTCCATTCTGTCATTCCGTCTGTGACGCCAAAATGTCATTTTATGCGGCCTACTCCTAGAAAACTAGTGTACCGATCAAGGTTCTAATCATTTTTCTGTATTTACTGGATTGGTGAGAGTGTCTTTGGCTATAAAAACATGGCCTCGCTTCTTTGAAAACAAAATAACAAACCATCAAAAACCCAATTTTGTTCGATTTTTGTCAAGTTTTCTCCTAATGTTTGTCCTAATGTAATAGTACATTTTATGAAATAACGATCAGCTTTTTGGATTAGTTCTCACTTCTAGCTGTCACTGATATGTTTACATTAAAAGTTGTTTACAAATACCGCAACCATTTTCGATCAAGTTTTGTTAGCACATCCAAACCAAGTGAGATTAAAAACGTTGTGCCTTACTTAACCGGTTTGATTAATCGCAAGTGCAACGATTGTTCTTAAATTTTTATAACCGGGAAAAATATCGTGAATCAGTGTTGTATTAGTGCTGGGAAATTTAAATTTTTTAATCATCGTCACCAATAGCTTACAAAAAAGGTTTCCACTCATTAACGGCGCTTCAAGGACAGTTGTGTAAAGTGCAAAGTACAAAATTACTACTGCAGTGGGTGATCGTGGATGTTGCTGCGATCTTGGAAGATCTTTCTGATTTCGCTGTGATCGTAGCAGAGGTTTAACTTACATCTTGTAGCTAAACTCGCTTTTCCAATGTGTCACTTTTAGTTTCTACTTACTTACATTTCGACAACGATATCAGTACTTTTCCTACTTAGGAAGTAAAACTATAAACGTCCAAAACCACAGATTTGTGCGTTTTTTCGTCACATTTCCTCCAAATGTTTGCTAGATATATGTACCGATTATCGTTTAGAGATTACGTAATCTTTTAAACAAGAAACCTTTGTTTGGACAAAGGTGGTTTCTTCAAACTGTCATTAATATGTTAAAATTAAAAGTTGCTTACAAATAATGCTATTAATGGGAAATAAATTTGATTTTCGTAAACTAAAAAAAATTTTAACCAAGGGAGATTAATAACTTCGGTACTGCACCACATCAAGTGAAAGTTTTTTTTAACAAAACATAGTGAGTTTTTAATAAATGGTTTTAAAAAATTTTTCAATACAAATACAATTTTTCAAAAAACAATAAAAAGGGAATTTTTGAGGAACTTATTTCTGCTGAAACCGCCATCAAATTAATACCTAACTCTGATTAAAGAACTTACCTCCGTGCCATAGTAAATAAGAAATTTAAAACTATGCAGAAAAAGAACACATCAACAACCATAAAACAAAATGGTGAACAAAAGGCTCTTAACAGTATTAGGATTAAACTTAATGAGAACAATGCTCTTATAACTAAAGCAGACAAAGGAAACACACTCGTGGTACTTTATAAAAAAGACTACATTGAGAAAGTGAATAATTTTATCTTATCAAATAATATTTTAGAAATCGAAAAAGACCCTACTGTGAAATATAGTACTGTAATAAGTCAAGTTATTAATAAGAGCAAAACTCTTCTAAGCCCAGATGAAATAAAAGCTCTAAAAATAATGAATCCGTCAGCACCTAACCTTTGCCCAAAATACATAAAGAGAACGTTCCGATAAGGCCCCTGGTAAATTTTATGTCAGCTCCATCATATAAATTGGCAAAAAAACTTGACAAAATTCTGAGAGAAAATTACACCTTTGACCATATTCACAGTGTGAAGAATAATCTAGAATTAATCGAAAAAAACAAAAACTATGCAAGTAAAGAGTCATCACACATTGGTATCCTTTGATATTGTAAACTTATATACAAATGTACCTATCAAAGAAACTTTGGATATTATTGACAACAATCTCGCAAATAATTCTACATTAAGTACTGAAGCAAAAAACAAACTCATGAATTTGTTAAAACTAACCCTTGAGCAAAATAATTTCACTTTTAATGACAAGGTTTACTCACAACCTGACGGTCTAGCAATGGGCTCACCGTTATCAGGAATCATATCAGAAATTTATCTCAACCACATAGAAAATAAGCACATC